TCTGTCATTTTGCTGGTGCCTGGTCACCATGCATGTTTGTTACCTTCAGCTAACTCTCTACCGGCCCTGAAACGTGAATGTCATTCAAAAACTGCTGTCCGCCTTAAAGAATGTTCTCCACAAGCCTCATGAAGCATTTCAAGGGTTTTGGCAGCAGATTTACCGAGTTTCACGCAAATCTTGATGCAGACAAAAGAAAGACAAAGTCGAAAAAGCACTCATGCAAAAATATTGCATGCACACAGCATGCTGTCACGTGGCAGACTGATGCAACAGGCTTGCAAGAGCTTTGCCTCCCCTCTCATCTTCTTTCACCGAGGCAGTTACAACAATAACAGACTGGGAACTTACAGTTTGGTCTTAATATAAAGGAATCCAGAAGTAATCAAGACTGGACTTCATGCCTTTCAAAATATCAATTATATAAGTGAGCAGACAGGAAACTCCCTTGATGTTTCAAAGGTGACTTCCACAGACTGGCAATCAGTTACACAAAGCAAAGTATGTGCAATAACAAGAACTACATTTATTTATTACAAATTCCAGTCAATGTAATGCTCTTTATTATATATTTCTGTTTCAAACTAAGACACATATGTAAACAATAAGATCTAACCATACTGTACAGAAACATTGAAATACTTCCACCTCTTCTTCATTTACTTAGAAGTATACCCTCATTTTTATAACCAGAAGGTTCTCCAGCTGTTATGAGGAATTCCAAGATTTTTCTCTATGTGGTCATACAGAAGGGCTGCATGCTTTTTATTCTCTTCAATGCCCAATTTCCCAATGGACTCTAAGTGTTGCTGTTCCACATGGCTAAGTACTTCCATCCCATACCATTAGCTGATCTGCTATAACAGCAGCAACACAGTACTAAAGGATGAAAGAAATACCATTCATTATAAAAGTCATGCAATATTTTCTAAACACAGTACATACAGAAATGTCTCTTTATTCTCAAACACTTCCTTCTTGGACCTCATGGTCTATAGTACTTGTTCGACTCTGTTCCTCAGTACTTAGAATACCTTCTATTGAAAAACATGAAGTTCAGAAATATTACTCAATTCCACTAGCATACATGAAAGAACAGGGTATCAAAATTTTCAGTGAGGTTGGTCTGTTAATGTTTCATTGGAGGTTCAACTAACTGATTAACAAGTTCAACATGCTTTCCATTAAATTCTTCCATCTGTAAAGAGAGGCTAGAATAACTTATAAATTGTAATTATTTAACTGCATAATGTATTCTTCCCAATAATGCAGATCTGACCTAATGCCTGAAAATTATCAACAACAAGCTCAATGGTCTTTTCCATTTGGACACTTGTAATTCAAGACTTTTGTACATAACTTCATGACACAGCTGTGATCTAAACCATTTCAGATAGCATCCTTGTAGCTAAAATGGTTTGCCACTCTGAATTACATAACTGAAATAGAGTTTGCATGGAAGCCATGTTACGCTCATATTTGTACACATTTTCGTATTTTTCCAATACATCCTAATTCAATTATAAGCTATGCTGGGTAAGTTTGATTTGTTTTGTTTATGCTCTTTCTAGTGCATATAAATCAGACAGCCACTACAGCAATTTTACAATTAGGCACCCTCATATGGTCCCACAATAAAGAGCCAAGTATGTGACTGCCATGTTCCCTTTCATTCCATTTTGTTACAAGAATCTCTTATACCATGAACACTGAAATGGAACTTAATAACAATGTACACATGACAATACAGTAAGCATAAAATGGTGTACAATACAATTTTCATCTTCTCCTTAGAATGTTACTCCTAAAATGATTGGAGTTTTTCTAGATGACAGATAAAGGGCTGGGTAGACAGAAATCAAGGTTGTAGGTTCCAGTTATGTAACTTCATGCCACCATATGAACTTCAGCGTCCTATTTCTATATTCTGTTACATTTTAGGAAAAAAAACAGTAGCCATACATTAATATTCACTTTTCTGATATTAGTTACATAAGACAACAAGTTTCATTTTATTATTATTATTATTTATTTCATCCACAGCTGTAGAGAATTACAATTGTACATTTCAAATATCAACAACCTCACATCAAAAATAACATAACATTCACATTTTGTGTAAGGGTAAAAGGTATAGTTGTTGCAGTGCTTAATTAATCAAGCACTATGTCATGAGGAAATATGGGAGAGTGGAGATATAGCTCCACATTTCTTGGCCTTCGAAACAGGTGGAGGCAAGTGGTCAGCTTCACACCCTGCAACTCAGAAATTACAAAACATAAAATGTCACACTAAAACAGACAAATCACGTATAGATCACAGATGAGCAAATATAGCAAGCATTCCTTAATGTAGTCATGCACATTGTTACAATTGGAGACATCATACATTCAGGTATGTTTCATATATCTGGCACCACTTGCAGCAGAGAACATAAAGTTAATTTATTCATTTATGTAGCAGTATCAGCTTCTACGTATCGTGGTATCACGTCAGTGACGAGATATCCTAACAAGCAACAACCATACGACAATTACACGTCTCTCTTATCCTAATAACATTGTTAAAATTGACTATCATTAATGGAAGTTTGTTCAGTAACCTTGTTAGTTACAATCTAATTTTATGGATAATTTCTAAAGGCACTTCATGGACTCAATCATCTCCCTGTCGGGCTGGATATAAAACATGTCACACATTACTTCACTATATTACAACACGCATCAAACACAATTTTCGTGTCAAACAATTTAAAATACGATCGCCATGCTCGTGCATAAGAACTGCCATCTTACTTCTGTCCTGGCTTATTACACCCTACGTAGAGGCAACGTTCACCCTGAAGCAATTAAAAAATGAATTGATCACATGGGTGACAGTTTGGATTAGCGTCTTGATCTGAAAGATTTAGCCTTTTAGTTTTACAAAACAGCTGTAGCAAGTTCACTGTTTCAAAACTCCAAATATCGGCAAATGTCATCTTTGGTTAAATTGAACGTAATTACGAAATTGGAATAAATAAGCAGGATTTTCCATCTATGGGGTTGGCTCTTCTGGTCATGTTAGTTAGGTGGGTTTGGGCGGTTTGAGGTTGCCCAGTCGGTGATTTTGAATATTGCTCTTTCTTATGTCATGTGACAGGGCGAGGTCTAGTAAATAATTATCATTATTTCGGGCGGAATGTGATGCTTCAAGGTAATATGGTGATTCAATACTGTCTTCATGACCGTGACATATCCTATCTCTACGCATGAACTGTATATTAGAGGATCTAAATCACATGCTGCATGCAGCCTGCTTACTTTTTGTAACATTGTGCAAAATTAAAATGAAGCCAAAAAATTGGGATTTCATGCTTGGCATACTTTTCAACCAGCAAGATTGAGCTGATATGTTTTTTTACGGAGTACAAAAATATAATAGTTAAAGAACAAAGCTAACTGCAAGAAAATCGTTATACCCATACACTTTTATTCATATGTAATAACTATATTAAGTAAAAGTAAAAAAAGTAAAAGTGAAGCTATCCCCGCACCAGGCCTTGAAGACACTCGGCTCAAAGATGCTTTACTCCCCAGGAAAATTATTTAAGTCCTGGTACTCATTTCTGTTAGAGGCTGAGTAAACCCCAGGGCCTAGTGCAGCTGGAAGGATTAGGTCAACTGAAAAAAATCCAGTGACCTCATCAGGACTTGAACCCGCGACCTTCCGGCTTGTAGCATAGCTCCTCAACCACTACGCTACCATGTACCTAACTATATTAAGTATTGCTTTTAATGTAAAAGACACTCTTTCTGTTTCAGTATATTGCTATTTCTATAGATTCACCATGCAGGGAATAAAGTGACATTTTATGGTACCACTTGTCTGTATCAGAACCTGGAAAACACTGTACTTATAGTATATAATGCTAATTACACTTTTTTGTCAATGAGCAGTGTTGCATAATTGGTCACATAATCGTGTTTCCCTTTTGTGTTATGAATGTTGCAATACTGAGTCATATAGATTTTATTCTTTTTTATAAAACAATAGATCCAAAATATGTATAATGAAGTTAGAGTTACAATTTTAAACTCACAAAATAGACTTCTACAAGAGACCCTGTTATTGACTCCTTTAATAAGTCTTAGGCCTTTTTTTCTGTATTTTATATACTGCATTTGAGTCATTTACCCCTCCCCCTCCAAGAATACAATACCATATTTTAGTATAGATTCAAATTTTGTAAAATAAACATTTCTTAATACATGTATACTTACTGAGTCATGTAAGGATTTAATCAAATAAAGAACTTTGTTTAATTTTTGACAAAGGTACTGTATATGAGTGGCCCAGCTTAAGTTTTCTGTGAAATAAATACCTAAAAATTTTAATTTTGGTGTGTAAGTTATTTCTTTGTTATTGACTGGAGAAGAGAACATATTTTTGTTCTATATTCTTCCAATTTTAATGGTCTGGCTGCACATTGCTACCTGTACTGAAGCATCATTCACCATTGGCATTACATAAGTTACATCTGTTTCATATAAGCCTTGTATGTATAAGAATTCTTTTTATTGCTAGTGGGGTGGGACTAAGTCCCTTGTACTGCGGCCACTTCTGGCCTATTGTGCCAGCCCCAGATGATAGGTGAGGGTGATTGTGGAGCAGCTGGTGGAATGAGGATTGGCAGGGGAAACCGAAGTACTCTGAGGAAACCTGCCCCAGCTCCACTTTGTCCACCACAAATCCCACTTGATCAAACCCGGGATTGAACCCCGGCCGCCGCGGTGGGAAGCCAGCGACTAACCGCTTGAGCTATGGCGTGGCCCCATAAGAAAATTAGTGTAAAGGCTAACAAGACTACACCAGTCTGTGTTAAAACCACATAACTATAACACTCAAATTCAGTTGTGTGGTGATCATTTTCTAAAGTTGTTCCAAGTGTAAATAAATTTTAGCCTTCTGATATGCCAATATGATGGAAGAATAAGCGTAAGAGCTTTCATGATTCTCAGGACTGCTGCGAAGGCTGTAAACTGGGATTGATGTCTGGCTCCATGGGAATGGAATGTATTTTCCAAAACTTTGAGTTTGGACCTCCATGGGATAAAGCATATCATGCTTGCTGTCTGGAATCAAAACCTTCCACCACTTCACCAACCAGCATCTCCACAGCTGTGACTGCTGCTAGTCAGAAGAGGGAAACTAACATTCCAACACCAGGTGAGTATATCACCGAAGATAAAGGCAGAGTCCATCTTGTGTGATTTCTAGAATAATATTCTTGTTTTTGATTCGTAAAGCCACCAAGTTCTGTGGATGCTTTCCGTGAACACCATATTTGCAATTACTTCAGACAGAAAAAAATCATGAATCCAGTTGCAAATAGCAGAGGTTATCATGTGGTAAATTGTTTTTTCAATTGCATATTTGTTGCTAGTTACTGAATCATTCACTTTATTTTTGAGGTTCAGTTGTACCATTGGGAGAGCAGCCTTAATTTTTAGCGATCTTTATGTAATGTAATTATGAAATTACACTTCCAGATTTTAATTTACAGCTTTGGATAGTCTCTGTGACCTTCTACCAGGAGAACTGTGTGCTCATATATGTGTGCCTGTTCCTGGCTCTTTCTACTGTTTATGTCGAGAAGGATTTACATTAATGGCTGATGGAAAATCATGTCAGCACGATGACTTACCTGACAGGTACCATTTCAACCTAAAATTCTTATGTATTAGGAGGATAGAAAGTGGATGAGTTAAGAGTTACTTAACAGGGGACATTGTGGTTTACATTTATATGTCATCAAATAATATTAGTAATTTTCCTGGGGAGTGAAGCGCGGCTGGCGCGTAAGGATGACAACCTTACCGCCATCTTTGAGCCGATTGTCAAGGTAATGTGGGACCCTCAACATCTCACAACCCTATGGGCCTTCACAGCCTGTTACAGGGATAGCTTTACTTTTTTTACTTTTATAGTGATGTCTATCAGTCAGTGATGAGCAGGTGAGACAAGAGTTGCATATGGAAATTTGCTGGAAGCTTTGTATTACATTCATGGAACAAGCATTCATCACTTACATAATTTCTGTTTTGTTTTTGTGCGCAATGAAGTGTCATAAAGCAGTATGAGTTGGGACAAAATTATCCTAACAGATCCTGTGTGTATTTTGCTCCATATTGACCCAGCACATTATATTAACACAAGACCTTTAAGTCTGCAGTAAATGGATTTAAGATGTAAGCGCACCATATTAAAATAATGGGATCAGAATTTAATTTGATACACAATTAATGTTTTACTGAACAACAAAACACAATTCAGTTCTTTTTGTTAGGTGCAAAATGAACAATCCCTGTGCTCATAAGTGTCTGGACACTGGAGTTGCAATTGAGTGCTCGTGCCATCCAGGTTATAAGTTGGCATCTGATGAAAGAAACTGTAATGGTGAGTTCTGTGACACAGTGCACAAAACCTGTTGCACTCACTGTCGGTAATTAAACCTTATTGAGCTCATTTTATTTTATTTTTTTCTCCTCTTGCTTCCACTTTGGAACATAGGACTGATTTCTCAGTTTTATGATCGTTTTACAGGCGGTAGGACTCCTTGGATGGGGGATCAGCTCATGACAAGGCCTCTACCTAAACACAGGACAACACATACACACCAAAATTGATGCCTTGTGTGGCATTTGAACCCACAATCCCGGCTTCTGAGCAAGCAAAGGCAGTACATGCTTTAAACCGCTTGGCTACCATGACTGGCTTCATTTTATTATATGCTGTAAATTTACACATCATCTGCTCTGTGTTGTCCAAAGTTTCTTAAAGATTGAAACAGCTTCCAATCTGTACATTTCCAAATATTTATGGAAGGCTGTTCAGCTAGTATTGAAATTGTGTTAAATTTGATTAATATTAGCAAACTAGGGTCATCCTTTAAGCCGCGCCATAGCTCAAGCGGAGAGTTGCTGGCTCCCCACCGTGGCAGCCCGGGTTCGATCCCAGGTTTGGTCAAGTGGGATTTGTGGTGGACAAAGTGATGCTGGGGTGGGTTTTCTCTAAGTACTTTGGTTCCCCTGCCAATCTTCATTCCACCAAAATTCTCCATCATCATAATCACCCGAGGCAGGCTACAATAGGCCAATCAGTGGCCGCCATGCTGAGTGGACCCAACTGGACTCCACCCCCCACTAAGTGAAAAAAAAAATGCTGAAACAACATATTTAGAGAGGAAAGCTAAATCAGTTTAATTTAAAACATGCATATCATTATTTTTCTCTGCCTTTTTCTGTCTATAGTCATCAGTGACCTTAGGACTGTTGCTGTTATTTTCATCATTATCAACAGAACCATTACAGCCATAAAAAGTCATTTCTTTAATATGGCATAATTGTAATTTTTCCAGTCTGAAAAAATATCACAATATCAATTCTTAAATTTATACCAGTTTAAAGCAGTGACACTTGTTTCATATGAATTTGATTTACAGATATTGATGAATGTGCTCTCGGAACTTACATATGTGATTCTGATGACCAGGCCTGTCGAAATGAACCTGGCACCTATTTGTGTGTGAACCCGGATGGTTCAGTCGCAAAACCACCCATTCAAACAAGTAAGTGCAGTCACATCTTATGCATCTTTAAGTTCAGCATTGTTATGTCTCCTGGAGTGTATATATTTTTCTCCTGTCGTTCAATATACAAGTATATCTCAGTTTGTTATTTATATTTACAGCAAGTATCATTAGAAATTTTGAATTCACATCTAGAGTATTTTACGCTGATCGATTAACTGCAAGATTGGGAATATAGTGCCTGTATTTCTAGATATTTCATTGAAATTTCAGTTGCATGTTACAGTTTATCCTTTAATGTCCAAAGTGCACATATAGTTACAGTGGTAAGTAGTTTCATCATGGCCAAAGTGCACATGTTCATGCACTCAGGCATTTAAACACAACTAGTAGGAAGGTACGCACAATCCTAAATAATTAATCTTAACTACAGTAGAATTCAATGAAAATTTATTTTGTTTGGTTATCTGTTTGATGTATATATAGCCTTCAACCCCACTTTATCTAACTGAATATCTCATTTTTATGGTACTCAAAGCACTCAAGAATGCACAGTCTCATGTCATAACCCTCCCTTTGAATTTTAAAACGATTTTGTCAGCAGCCAATTGCTCTAAACGATTATAATAATTTTTGTATGTGTCATTTAGAGTGTCAGAAGTAGTGTAAATGTTCCATATTTTGTCACAATTGTTGGCTTTTCTCTCAATTTCTGTCAATGAACCAAAGACCCAATGGTGAGCTACACAATCCAGCCCAGTGTTTTGTTCGAGGGTCTCATAAAATGTCTCCTTGCTTCCCAGGCATAGCTGCTCTTTCAGGCCTCGGTTTCTTATTCCATTGTAGCATTCCGGCCCCTTCTGTCATCTCTTTATGACTGCATCCATTATGTTGTGCAGGAACAGCATGATGGTTCATTCACATGTGGGTGGCATCCAACTTCTTCCAGGACCGACCATCGCCCTGGGTCAGTTTCCTTGGGCCGTCGGCAGATCCCTGTGGCAAGATGCCAGTCCCCATATTGGTCCTACAGTGTTCTGATATTTTCCACCATGGCCTCTGCCTTAAGGACTTCCTAATGCTCCAACTTAGACTCTGTTTCTTCGGATTTTCCTCCAAACCCATGTCCTCTGTCTTTTCTTGATTGGCCTCCAAAACGGTGGTGTCAATTTTCTCTAGCTGTGACTCTATCCTGACCATTATCCTTTCATGAATGGCGTCTATTGTATTGTATTGTATTGGAGAGGGTGGGTTTCCCCATGCACTTAGACCAACTGTTGGTCCATTGTGCATACCCCTATGATATTCTACCAGCCTCTATTCCCTACCGTGCCATCAGTCCTGACTCAGCCAGCGAGTTTGGCCTCTACTGGCTCAGCGGTATCTCGATGCTTCCCCTATCTACCAGAGGTGTTAGAGACTACTGTTGGGCGGGAAGAATGTCCTGAATTTGGCTCAGTGGTCCCCTTGGGACATGAGGTTCTTTTACATCGTAAAGCTACGACACGGGACCCACGGCTTAAAGTCCCTCCCGGAGGACTTGCTCCCTGAATTTTTCCGCCCTTAAAAATTCCACGACCTCCGCTGGGTTTGAACCCACGTACCTTGAGTCACGAGGTGGGAACGTTACCCCTAGACTACGGAGGCCGCTGAATGGCGTCTAAGTTGGCCATCATTTTTCTTGGTCAGCTTTCATTATCGCTAGCATTTCATCTTTAAGGAGTTCTTGGCTGGCTGTCATTTCCTTTAGGTTGACCTCTGTTCTTCCTTGGTTGGTTTTCCTTTCTTCTCAACAGGAATCCATCTTGCCAGCATTTGTTCCATCTTTGTAGGCTGATGCTTCTATGATCTGCTGCAGTCTTCAATCCAACAATTAAATCTGATCATTCGATCATTCCAATACCACTTCTGACACCAGTTGTCATGTGATGGACTGTGACTATGGATGGAGTTTGTATTGGTAATTGGATTTATTGAACACTTACAGATCATAAATACAAGTAACTATAGTGCTATTGCTAATTCACACACTCAGCTGTTCACTACATAATGTACTAAGCCTTCTCAGTTCACTGTGTCTTCACTGGTTGTCACCTGGTAATGGCTTCCCATGTTCTAGCTTCCTCAGCTTTGATATTCACGTCCTCACTGGCCAGTGACTTTCTCACAACTGTCCATTCTCAACTCAGCTCCACTGAACTAACTGAACTAAACTCAGTCGGTTGAGTGATGTAGCCTCGGAGTGGACCACACAGAAAACGTCGCTTCCAACAGTTCTTCTATTGTTGCATCACGCAGCTGTCACATGGACCATGTAGAATCACCACTTCCCAGTTAGTCTTTTGGTGCATCTTAGGAATCTGTTGCCTAGCAGTGGGCGTTGTTTATAGATTCATTACTTAGTAATGGGTCTACAAGCTACATTATCTTGAAAAGGATATTAATTTTGCAAATGAGTTAATACAGAAGTCTATTAATTTAACATCTGTAAAATGAGGACATAGTATATTCTGACATTCCTGAGATTATGTTGTTAAAGTTGTATGCTCTTTTATTACAGATAGACCAGTAGTAAATGATTTTGGTGCTGGAAAATGTCCTTTAGGATATAAATTTAATTTGCAGTCCCAAGTATGTGATGGTAAGTGAAAATGAATTGGAGCGTACAAATTGTGTTATTTTTGTTGTAGCTGCAAAAACTAAGAGAATTCAAGCTACATAATTTTAATAAAAAATAAAGCACAAACGATTAAAATCCGAGTTACAGCTGTGTTAGTAAATTTCTTATTTCAATTCAGTTCCCATCTTGAAAAATTAGGTATTTAAATGTAGTGGAATGGGCTAGTTTTGGGGTGACCAAAGTGCTACTGAAGTATACTTTCATGAAATACTGTAGTTTTGAAGGTAATTGGTTTAAACTTTAGGCAGGTACTGTATTTTGGGAGTCAAATTGGAATAAAATAAATTAGTGTAGATTCTGGTCATTGGCTTCGGTGGTAATAGTAATGAAGCTTTATGCTCTATTACAAAAGAAACACCCTTACAAAAAGTATGGCAGTCAAATATGTGCTGAAATCCTATACAGGGGAGTTATTTAATGCAAATTAAATATTGTTATTAGATATCGATGAATGCATGTTGGACGTTGACAACTGTGGAAGCAACAGTGCCTGCCAAAATACGATCGGCTCATACATATGTATTAGAGCTCCTGTAGAAACGTGTCCACCTGGATATAGATTTGATGATTTCCAACAGATTTGTTCTGGTAAGCAAAATTTGTATCTTACCTTGTTAACACTATCTCTAAATTTGTGATATAAGGAAAGAATTTTAATTAATGCCACTACACAGTCTATATACAGTTTCTTCTTCCAAACTGGTCGCTGTGTCATACCCTGACTTACAAAATATTTGTCTCATAGATATTGATGAGTGTTCTGAAGGACTGGATGACTGCCAAAGAGACAAGCATTTCTGTTTAAACACAGAAGGAAATTACACCTGCCAGCCGCAGCACGATTCAAAGTGCCCAGCAGGATACAAATATAACAAAGCAGCAGCAATATGTGAAGGTAACATTCTTGCACTAGTGTCCAAATTTGTTTATTTTGCCAGCTAAGGGACGCATGCATTAAGGGAGGAACATAGACTGAGGGTGTTTGAGAACAAGGTGTTGAGAATATTTGGACCAAGGAGAGGTCTCAGTGGTAAAGCTAGTAGAAATTAATTTCTGTTGTCTTGTGAAGTAGTACCAAATGACCTTATCTTAAATCTGTTGAATCCTGGAGCATGTTATCAATTTTCTTGAAGAAAAGAAAATTTTATCCACAGCTGCAAGATGATGAATGAATATGGGATGTGATGTTTTATATTAAATTATATTCACATAGAGAATTCATTATTAATGACAAATTAATGGTGTGAATAAATACAACTTAAGTCTGGTTTTAATTGGATATTATTTTTATGTTAAGTAATATTCACATTGCCGAACACAGTGGCCGAGCAGTCTAAGGGACAAACTGTCTTCACCCACTTGAACACTGCGATCATGGGTTCGAATCCCACTCAAGTATTGGATGTCTGTATGTGTGGGTAGCGTCCTTGTGACAGGCTGAACCCTTCCATTCAAGGAGCCCTACCGACTGTGTAGATTAAGAAACTGAAAAAGTGGCTAAGGTTCACAAGCGCTGTAAAGCCATAGATAGATAGAAAGAATATTCACATTACTTATTTCTTATTACTGATAACTTTAGTGATGAGATCACAACCAAAGTTTGGTTTCAATTTGATATTATTTTTTGTCAAATAATAATCACTTTAATAATTTCTCATTAATTACAAATTAATGGAATAAATGAACCTTAAATTTGGTTTTAATTTAATGTTATTACATTTTTTATAAAAAATATTATTCATATATATATATAAAATGTGAAATAAAAGTTGGCTAAAAATAATTTTTTTATAATTAGATATGGTTACCCAATTCACATTTGTTTGAAGCTCCAATATTTCTGAAAATTATCATATGCACCCCAGTTTCCCCACCCCAAATAGTTCCAAATGACAGGTACTGTGAATGTTGAATTCTAAAGGGTGTAGATGGGAGTGGTTGAGGCCTTCTTTAGGGCACTGTTCTAGCATTTGCCTGGAGGAATTGTGGAAAAACATTGAAATATCAGTCAGGATAGTCAGTGCCAAAATTTTAGCCTGGACTTCACGGTTATGAAGCAGGAGTTCTAACTTCTCAGTTACAACATTATTCATCCTCACTTGAAGACTGTGTGCAGTCAGCAGTCATGTTGTACTGCTGAAAGGAAATACAGAGCCATATTGAACCCGAGATGGCATCATCCATGTCCCTGTGGCAAATATTCATCAGCGGACTTAGGTGTGCACTGCAGTAATGAATGTGTTAGTAATGCTATGGTGAAAATTGGGAACTTCTTAGCTACTTCTTAAGTAGTGTGCTGTAGAATATAACTGAAAAGTGATGTAGTTTATATAAATTTCACAGACCCGAAATAAACTGATTTCCCTTCTTATTATTTTGTGAAGGCTTATTCTTTGGTTCCTTGGGCTGCGTGTTAATGTTGCATGCGCATAACTAGTTTGGTTGTCTTGTGGGATTGTGTTCTTATGAAGCTTCTAAACAAGCATGATGATCAACTTGTAATGGGAAGCTCATTCTTGGTGAATAGCCCATTTGTATTATAGCAGGAAAAAACCATCGATGTAATTTCTCAACAGTCATATTCAGCATGTGACATTAAACCTTTCTGGGTCACCAAAATATTGTCACCTTTGCTAGGCACTCCTGCAAGGTCACGGTGCTGTTATTATCATGCAGTTTTTTAACATTTCCTGTTCACCTCATGGGAACTGTTTCAGCAAGTGGTAGAAACACATTGCTAATGCCATTTTTACTGTCTTAGAACTTCTTGTGATGAAATTCCACCAAAGCCATTAAGAAACTCTAGTATTAATGTTATGAGAATATCTTGCCTGTCACAGTTGCCATGTTACTGAAATACTCGAATGTAAAGGAGCTAAGACTGCCACTTGCTTAATTTTTTTTTTAAATCATGTATTTATGTGAATTAATTTGAAACTTATGGTATTTTGAAAGAAAGCTTCGAATTTGTTTGCTAATGTATGTTGGTTATGTATTCAGGTGTATAGTTATATATTTACCATTATATTAATGTGCATATTCCATTTGCTTGTATCACCAAAATATGTTATGAACAATTTTTTTTTATTCTGAGATCACCCGCAATATAATGTAATAAACTGCCTACGTAATGTGTAAGTCGGTTGTGTCTTTATTGACTTACATATTGAAGTCAGAAATTTAATAAATTATTAAATAATATATCCAGAATATAGCATGGATGCCTGTCAGAAATTTATTATGTTGCTTTGTCAATATACTTAAACATACTTCTATATGTCTTAAGTGCAAAGCAGCATAAGTTTAAATGAAGGGTTATCTAGGATTTATACTTTATGTGATGTTATATTTGTATTAAAATGTAGAGTGATTTATATTATTATTTTGTAATTTATAATTTCCTTGAATATATAATGAATTTTGTACTTAACATAATGTGTATGTCAGATGTGGATGAATGTGGAGAAAATCTTCATGGCTGTGCCCCTGACACAGAGACCTGTCGCAACACAGTGGGAGCCTATGAATGTGACATGAAGTGTGACTTGGGTTACCAGTATAGCCTCGGTCTCAGGACATGTGTTGGTAATGTCTCTCAACTGAAGTACATAAAACAGTTTTTCTTGTCCTTCTATTTAGGATTCGTTCATTCTGTTAATTTCAGTGACACTAACAAGAAATGCATGAATGTTATATTTAATTCAACTGGAGCAGTGAGGCTTGTCTTGTAAGATTGTTATGCTGTAAACTGCTTAAGCACTTCATATATACATGCTTTGCAAGTATTTCAGGCAAAATGCATTTCAGATAAATACTGAATATCTTTAATGTCCTATCCATATATGGTTGTGCAGAGTGTTTTAACTTATTCCTTGAAAATATTTCTCTTTCTGCGCATTTATTTTGTAATATTTTCTTTTTCAAAATTTCAGATATATGTCTATATTAGAGTTTGTGTTGACTCAGTGTATGCAAGGGACTACTATGTATGCCTCTCGTCAGTCTGTAGTAGAAGCCCATTATGCCGTCTTGTGCAAATATAGCTTCAAAATTTAACCAGTTAAGTGGTATATTTTCTGTGTCCTTATCTCTCCCACAGTGGGTATTTAAATTTGTTACTGCAGCATGTGATTTTGAAATTGTTGTTCCCTTTGAAAATTCAGTATCTCAACCATGTGTCATTATAAAATTATGAAACAAGAAATCTGTGAAAAACCAATTATCAGAGTTCATACATCTGTATTTTTATTTGGATAGCAATTACATTGAAGTTTATATATATATATTAGTAAAATCTATACTTTCGGCTTTATTCTCAAAAGGTACTGCACTATCACCACTGACATGCATTTCAGTTCCCAATACATGATCACAAAGGCATATCTGACTCATGCACATTCAGTATATGCAATCCTGACTGGTGTCTGGTGTTTAGAGGTGGAACACAATCATAGAAGCTACCTGCTGAAACTACCTCCAGCTTAAACACACACTCACGGCATTTCACTGTGACCTACTACAATTAAAACTGCCTCGTTGATAAACGTTTCTTATTGCCATGTGGGCTGAATTTGTACCTCCATTGCAAGCTCAAGGCTACTGTGGATGAATGAACTGTGTACCAAAAGCTGTTTGTTCTTCCAAACATCGACTGAAAAAGCGTTTTCTTGTACAGACCATGAAATCATCACTAAAACGATTATTCCCCTGGAAACATTGTTGCAACTCCAGTGGCACATACTTTGAAGGTCTTTGTAATTATGTTGTAGTTTTCAATAACAACCCATAGTACACTTTCTAGCCATTAAAATCTTACATTCAGACACTTCTTAGCCACTTGTTGAACCGTGGTTCCCTTTCACGCCTCTAGAAGTTGGCTGCCATTTGGTAACATTGGAAATGGTACAATACACAGGACCACCCTAAAGTTTTTGCAGTTATACCTTGTTTCATGATGTTGACCATTCCATCAATAAAATGAAGAAACTTGAGTAGAAGATGAAATCTCCTCTCACTGAACGGGTCCAAAACAATGGGTATTTCCAGAATTTTCCTCCAGGAAAATGCTGAACGTACTACCCACCTCACCTGTGAGAGTGGAATGAGCCAAAGCATCTACACCAATTCTTCAATTGCACAGATATAAACAGTCGCTGTTAGGATGTTCCGCAGTAGCACATTTAGGCCTTGCCAAAATATTGATCACTGAATCAGCAGACCATAACCTTTCTGAAAGTTTGTCATGGGCAGTTCACTTTGTGAGTTAAACACTGTCTCCCTAAGAATTCCAGTAACCTTAATAAGAAAGGCCATGCTATAGCCCAGGCAGTTAGCCAAGAGCTATCAACCGTGCCTGCCTTGGCTCGATCCCACGTCAGGTCATATGGAGTACAAAGTGGCACTGGTGTAGGTTTTCTCAAAAGTCCTATCATTTCCCCTGCCAATCTTCATTCCACTACCTGCTCCACACTCATCTGTCATCATCATCATCATCATCCACTGCTGCTACAATAGACCGAATAATGGCCGGTGTACCAAGTAGACTCCACACTATGAATTAGAAGAAAAATCCTAAATAACAGATAAATTATTATGTGCAAAATTACTACCTCATCTCCTTAGGTGTTCAGATGTTTGAAACATTTTTATGATCTTTAGGAACATATGCACACCCTTTCTCAATCCTACAGTCTTGAACATTTCCTAGTTCTATGTAACATATTCTTAGATGTGCATATTTTTAAATTGTTTTCCAGGATTATTTCTTGAGGAAATCAGTGTTTTTGGTACTACAGAATTTATGATTGTTAGCTGAAATGGAAATCATAATTGTGTTCTTATAGTGACTGTGATTAATGTTGGGTTCCAAAATATAGGAACCTTTCACCAGACTAAATGACCCGAACTGTCGAGAAATTAACAAAAATGGTTCCTAAAATCAGAAACACTCTTTCAGTATAATTTTAGTGTAATTATTGTAGTAACTGAAATATTCTTGTTAATACTGTTTGCTGTTAAAACAAAGATAATGGTCTTTTGGAATATGACAATTTCGTTTGGCAAGTGGGTACCAATGTTTCAGAGGACCTTCTTACTGCCTTAAATTTTACCCTGAAGTTGGAGGTTGCACGTTGTCTGTAATATTGGTACCTGTCCACCAAACTACATGAGATAGCATCCCAAAAGGCCATAATTTTAGATATTAACTGCCTAGTGGATCTTAAATGTCATACTTTTAACATCTTTCAATTATTTGCTTATGTATGCTTTTTAAGGTATGTCAGAATAATTCTGATTTTTTCTTTCTTCTTTGAATGTATGTTTAAAATTTTTCAAAGTATGTCAGTTTCATAGTAAACAAGAAAAACCAGTATGTTGTAAATATTTTTATTGTAGATATTAACACTGCAGCATATTATTCATTCTAATGCATTCTGCGTTAGCAGTAAACTTTCAGTAATCTTTATTAACTATGTACTTGAACCTATTACTTGTATATACTTCAACATAGACTATGTGATATGTTACAGTTCCTAGATTTTGTGTAGCTAACATGTTATATGTCTCTACGGATAACATCTCAGGTACTTCCTTCACTAACAGCAAGTGAAATGAGGTGAGTAATTTTAATTAGAATAAATTTAATTTCAATTATCTGTGTAAGAAAGGAAGCTCATACTACAAACGTATTCCATAAGGACTTTCAGATAAAACAATGCAAATCTTGGCTCTGGAAAGGTACATGCTACATGTGTAATATCTGTGGGGTATTTCCATGGAACTAAGTCAGAAATTCTAGTTCTCCTGAAAATTCTACTCACTATTCTAGTTTGCATTCTCTCAGCATAATGGTTTCTGTAATTCATACACCATTCCTTATCTCAAAAATACTGTAGAATGGGTCTGACTTTCATGGGACTTAATAATGGTAAAATACAGAATTTAGTACAATAATATTGTCTGCCAAGGAAAAAAAAACAATAACATTCCATAATATAATTCAATTCATGGGGTTTAATGAGCATAATATGAACTTCCTATTAATTTAAAAAAATCAGAATACTGGCAAAAATTAATATCTTAATATACACACAAACATACGTGTGTGTAATGTGTTCATGAAAACAATAAATCTATTACTTTGCAACATTGGAGTCAGCAGAATTTGTATGTTAAGGTTCTGCCCAATCAAATAATTCAATGAACAGAATTATATTGAATATATTGTGGACCTGGTGGTCTCAGTTTATGGTACAGGACTCTCATTCATAGGTTTCTGAGTTAGGTATGCATGCAAATTTCTTTGCTCCGCAAATTGAACCTGTCACTTCTGTCACACTTAAATTTGGAATGTAAAGTGTACTAGACCCACATCGTGGCTCTGAGCTCATTGTTACATTGTAGACCATCTCTGCTGGTCCTGGTTCTCATGATCCCCTATCACTGGGTGCAACAGAATCTGCCCTGTGGTTGATCATGCCTAATAAATGGATTCTGTGCCCTTGACTGTGCTGACAGAGGCCATAATATCAAACAGATCATTCCTGGAAACACTAGAAACCAAACACATTGAATGCTTCTCATGAAAAACTTATGAACTGTATTCCTTGTTACCATAGGGATTCTTTCCTCAGTATGCTACAGTGATATGTATCCAGCAATATTTTAGATTCTTGATGCTCAGTCATGATCTGACTTTGTTATGGGATTTTTAATATTTAATAAGTTATATTTAAAAAAGACACATTTAATTGTGAAAATTGATACATTTTAGTAGCAATGAGATAACTGTGTACTTATTCATAAAACCACCTGATGATGATCTGAAAATCAAAACATGTCATGGTAAGAGATAGGGTAAATTACTATTACCATTTTATTGATCCTATTAACTTTATATGCAGTCACTGATTGTATAGATTGACTTCTGTAACATAGTACCTTAATTATTCATGGATAATCATATCTTGGCAATTTCTGTTTTTTTTTTTAAGTATCATAATGTGGACTTTGTGTTATGTTGTGTATGCATCTTGCATCTGAGAAAAGGGTGGATAAATAAACACTTGTAGCATGTTTTACCCTAAAATGAAATACATCGTATTTGTAAAGAATAGATCACTCTACATGAAAATTCAATTCAATTCAATTCTTTATTATTTATGTGCCAAGTCAACAGCCGCAAGGCCAATTACAGACTTCGCACAGTGTAGATGAAAGTAATTACGTGTAACATTATACAAACATTGGACAAACACATTATGAGTCAAAAATAAATTAGAGGAAATTTCTTGGGAAAACACACAATGCAGAGCATAATAGTTATGCAAGCCCACACAGACACATAAGTAAACATTCCCTTCCACATACACATGCCGGGAGAAGTATTGCGAACATGGTAATGGGCAGATCATGCATAACTGAGCAACTATTAGGTTCTCTCCATGGAGTTACTTACACTGAAGCAATAACCTTACTTTCAAATATGTGTATCATATCATTTACTCTCACACTTTTCTCAATACAACAGTCACGAACAAGCTATATAAAAAAGTATATAAGTTATGTGTCTACATAACAATATTCTGTATTTAAAAACGAAGATGCTACTGTATCAACTTTTGCTTTTATTTTGTTTTGACAGACGCAACATGTTTCAACCCTTATACCGGGTCATCATCAGGCATACAATGCTCCAGTTTCAGCTGTTGAATTGCAATTAATTTTCATCCGATTCTTCATATAAGGATCCTTATATGCTTTTATATATCTTGTTCATAACACACAACAGGAAGCACACTATTAAGATCGGTCATAGTCATCCTTCTCTAACATATTTAAAGCTATGGAACTTATTCAGTTAACCCAGTGCCATTAAATAAACAGAGGGAAAGAATTTGAATTTATGAACCTGATATTGTGGGTGTAACTGAGTATTGCAAGTATGAATGCGTCATATTGATTTCAGTTCGCTTAACATTATCATAGTATTAAAGTCAGATTATCATTAATATCATCATGTATGTACAGTCTGTTTGTGTTTAAAATGGTCAATTATATGAAGTCTTTCTGCTTGATAGATATCGATGAATGTCATTTGGGACAGCACAATTGTAAGGTCAGAAGATGTCTGAATACCATTGGCAGCTATACCTGTGTCAGTGAGCCAAAAGCTGCCTGTCCAGCTGGCTATAAACCAAGTTCTGACAAGGAAAAGCAGTGTCAAGGTAAATTGTAGTGTATTGCCCGTCCCTATGTGATTGAAAAGAATCCCCAGTCACATTACCCAGGAGGTATCAAAATATTATTGTGCACAAAGAAAATTAAGAAATTTGAAAGTCAGGAAATGAAGGTTCTTTCTTTCTTCATTTTTCCCTCTTTTTGCCAGAATATGTATAATAAAAATGGTAAAAGTTCATTCCTATCCTATTTTTCTTTAATAAAATGCAGCTTAAGACAGTTAGATGGATTAAATAGTACTAAGTATGGAATTTTCTTACCAAAAATATATATTTATATAGTTATTAAACCACTTAGTTTCAAGAACATAACATATCACCTAATTTCCTAATGTCTAGTATGCCAGTATCCACCAAAACAAAAGTTAAACCTTTCAGGACCAGCCCTGAATATACCTCTGTAGTGTGACCACTTTGCTATACACTAACATGATTCTTTCACAGTTTGTTCTCTTTTTTTCTTTCATGTCAGCACTAATATACTCCATATTCAGTGTTTTTTATTCTAACATCTGAATATTTGCCCACATTAAAAAAATATAATTTGCTGTGAAAGCAAACCTCTTTTCCAGAAAAAATAGAGAAAACAAGAAAGGGTCTAGTGGTTTCAGTGTACTTACTTACTCATGGAGCTGAGCCGTTCTGGAGCCGTCAATTCTGCAGCTACTCAAGAATTTCCCAGCATTCTATGGAACCCGAAGGTTCATTACTGTGTTAACAAGAGCCCTCTACTGGTCCCTATCCTATCCATACCAGCCCATCCTGTCTCTAAGACCCATTCTAATATTGTCCACCCACCTACGCCTTGGTCTTCCTTGTGGTCTCTTTCCTTCTGGCTTTCCCACCAATATCCTCTACGCATTCCTCATCTCCCCCATTCGTGCTACATGACCTGCCCACCTCATTCTTCTTGACTTGATCGTTCTAATTATACTTGGAGAAGAGTACAAGTTATGGAGCTCCTCATTATGCAGTTTTCTCCAACCTCCTGTCACTTCATCCCTCTTCGGTCCAAATATTCTCAGCACCCTGTTCTCAAACACCCTCAGTCTATGTTCCTCCCTTAATGTCAGAGTCCAAGTTTCACACCCATAGGTTTCAGTGTACTTGTTATAAATATGGTTCGGAGGCATGGCAGTACTTGAAAAATACTGTGTTGAAAAGGCAAATACAGAAGAAAGTATATTTAGCTATTGATGTCAGTCGGCCCAGGAATCTGGCAGAATATGGCGAGAGAGTAGCCCATGAAAAGTGCCTGTGTGAGAAGAAAATTATGTATAAAATTTGTTTCTTTAATAATCTGCATAATTTAAACCATTGATGTTTCAGATGTAGATGAATGCAGAGAAAATGTGGATTCATGTGATCGATATTCTGAGACCTGCATCAATGAAATCGGTAGTTACAGATGTGAACCTATCGTGAATTCAGCCACAAATGAAAATAGAACCACAAGTTTAAGATCTGCTCATACTGGACAGAACAGTGAAGAAAACAAATTGGAAGTTTGCCCTTCAGGCTACAACTACAGTTACAGCAGGAAAACTTGTTTAGGTAATGTATATTTACTTTACTTACTGAAACTGGTATTGTAATTAATGTATCATCACAGCAATAAAAGTGATAACAGTGATGAAAATGGCAACAGAAGAGAGAGTTCTGATATTTTCAAATATTGTTGTTATTACTGTCTGTTTCATGGTCATTAATTTTTTCTTTCAAGTACTTTATTTGGTTATTGTATGATTCTGAGTTAACTTCTGGTGTTGTGTAACATCACATGTAACCTGGGAGGATGATTTGGATGAACTGGGAGTCCTGTGAGCAGAAGTAGCTGTGGTTTTCTTTTACGCACTATCCCTGTGTCCATCAGAGACTGAGAAAAGCCATGAATTTTCTCAGGCAGGACAGCTATACCGAGCAATAAATTGAACGTGGAACCTACCGAATGGGATTCAAGTGCATTAGTGCTGAGCCAACTTTATTGAGAGTTTGAAAAAGTCATCATAATATTTATTGTCCCCTTCAAAGTGTGTGGGAATGCTACGTGAAGAAATATGGAACTCCACTACTACCGCAGACATATGTAACTACAGGTACAAATTCTTCACATTGCTTTGGGTTGGGCTTACCTCAAATTACATTTCACTGTTTGCAGATTTGGATGAATGTATGCTTGGAACTAACAACTGCAATCCAAGTGAGCAATGTGTAAATAACCCAGGCAGCTTCTGGTGTAACCCAACATGTAGGGCAGGCTACCAGCTGGATCCGCAAAACCCTCAGACCTGTATTGACATTGATGAATGTCAGGAGAAAGTTGATACCTGTCATCGAAATAAGGAAAGGTAAATCAATTTTGACTTTCAGTGATTGGCCATCATAAATCATGTGTTGAGTATTCCACTTTAAATCAGAAGGATCCTAAATAATATTAATAACATGTGACTAGATTAGGTGAATCTTAGATATTCCTTCTTTCTGTGTGAACCCCTAATTCTTGCACTTCTTACCCACTTGTTCTGCTTAACTCTTGAAGTCTATTATACTTATTCTTATCAACTCTTATGTTGTGATAGCAGTGTTTCTAGATTTCCAGTCCCGCAACCTTCCCTTAACTATTTCTTCTTTAACATTTTTTATCCCACCAATGATTATTTGCCCTATGCTATTTTCCCTTGACTTTCTCTCTATGTCTTATCCAATTTTAGTATACAGTATTCATATTGCTGCATATATTTGCTTTGCTTCTAAAAAGTATTTCACAGCATGAATTCACAGTCGTCTTTCACCTGCTTTATTTTATTTCTCCCTTTTGACTTTATTCTTTTTTCATATATACTTCATTATTCTGTTGCCCTCTGTCTTTAAGGTCCTTGCTTTAAACTCATTATTGGCATCCTACAATGAAATTCATGACCTAAGTTTTTACTCCTGTTTTAAAATTCACAGTTCTGTCTCTTGCCCCATGGGCATCAATACATAATTTATTGAATTTAAGCCACAGTCCTAACATAAGGAAATTTATCTTAAAAATTGTGACCATAATTACCAATGCCAGGGCCTAGTCCATCCTTCAGAACAATATTTGAACAGGTTTTATGGAATGGCCTTTAGAGCTGCTGCTCCTGATGTCATCAGTGTCCCCAAAATGCCTTCCTTTCAATATTTCCCTTATCTTCAGGAACAGAGAAAAGTCACTAGGGGCTACATCTGGTGAATATGGAGGGTGTTCCAGCACAGTATTTGTTTACTAACTAAAAGCTCCCTCTCAGACAGTGCCGTGTGAGCAGGTTCCTTGGGACCATTTTTGCACACACTTTCCTCATGTCAAGATCTTCAGTTAAGATTTTCCTAACTGTTTCTCTGTTGATGCCTGTCTACCTGCTTCATATATAGCATGGCCACCAAAGAATACTGTTACATATGTAACTTTCACGCTCTTTCGTGGTAACTCACACTTTCAGTGATTTCATTAATATTTAAGTATATACTTTATTTTTCAACATATATGTCTTTTTCAGATGCAGGAACACAGAAGGGAGTTTTATCTGTGAACCAGTGTACCATTGTCAACCAGGATACAAGAAAACTCAAAATGATCTATGTGTAGGTAAGCACATATTTGACAAAGAGACGAACATTGCGCTTGATCATGATGTACCTTAATTCACTGTAACCGATCCATATATATCACAGCCCTTGAAGGACATCATGAGAACAATTTCAGTGAATATGCATGCTATGAACTTAAAGACAGCTACATTTATACGAAGATACTAATATTATAATGCAGCATCCCTTTGCATTTTAGTATCACCTGTAGTCTTCTTCCATCTATAATGCAATAATATCAATATAGGTTTAGATGATACTCATCATTCTGTGTTCATGCGCTACATGTTTCGGCCACACAGGGCCATGTTCACTTGTTTGGTGACATAATAGCATGTTTACTGTGCCATTGCCTAGCAATGGATGATATCACTTGTTAAGCTATTCAGTCATGTCACAGTAAGTGCTGGTGTTACGACTTTCTTCATTTGCATGATATTGTAACATGACTCCTTAAAGTGGGAAGGCAAACCCAGAGTAGACGTTCATTGCTAAGTAACGACTCGGTAAACAGTTTCCTGTGGAAATAAACACACACACAACAATAGAAGAACTGCCATTTCTATGCAACATTTTAATTCATCACATGAGTGTATTTTATTACTTAAAAATTTTTATTATTTTCTTATATATGCCTTATATACATCTTTAGGCACCCATTTAATATAAAAATTTTATTCCAATTTTAATATGTTTACAAGAATAATATTAATTATAACAAAATACTGGATATATTAACTATGTGTAAAGTCAGTTACATTAATAATAGTTGTTATATTGTAATGTATGAACTCATATAAAATGCAAGTCAGTAGTTTGTGAACAGTTGTTGGTGTATACTGCCTGATGATGGCTTTATAACTCGAAACATGTAGCACATTGTCATACCATTAAACCATTAAAACCAATAAACTCATATACACCGTAAATTTGAATGAGATTTTGATAGTTATGTTGAGACGGAAAAATAATAATTAAATGATAAATTAACACAACAGAATGCACTCCTTGAAGAGTATGAAATTCAGTCATTCCTTCTTTCATTAGGATTTGAGGTTTTCATTGTGGTGAAGATTTTGATTGTAGTCTTCTGGGTTATGACATTGTGTAGGCAGTTGTTAGTGTTTTGCTGCCTTCCATCTTGAAACTTGGAATGTGGGCGAGGATACAGCCATATGTTGGCCTTCCAGAGTCCCTTCTACATCTTCAGGTTAGAAAGTACCCAGAGATGGAAGCAGAAGATTCTTCCAAAACGTTGCTAGTCTCCTACCAGACTACATGGTGTCACAATCCAGAAGACCACAACCTAAAATTACTTTTAGTGAAGAATGTAAGAGTTGGCTGTTTTTAGCCAACATTTATCTTACGGCCCTCATGTGAATACCAACACAAAATTTCATCACAATCCATATCTCTTGAATGGTTACTTCAGTGTAAAATCTTTTTTAGGTCAATTACATAACAGCCTGTACACTTGGTACTGCAGTTTTCTATTTAATGCATAGCATAAATTTCTGCAGGCAGAATTGTCCCTGTCTTAATTCATTTCAATTCAGTTCTTTATTGTTTACGTGCCGGGTCAACAGCCGCAAGGCGAATTACAGACAGAGCACAGGGTAGATACAAGTAATTACATTACGGACAAACACAAATTACTGGCAAGCACTGAAGGAAAGCGCAATAATCCAGACAAACGAACAACAATAATAATAATACTAAAATGATTAATAATTTATTGTAATTCATGGTGTCTGCTTGTGTTTCTTGTCCCTAAACATATAATTTGAACCATTTTGAATTGTGCAAATTTTATTAAGGCAATATGTCTAGAAAACTGTGATACATGTTATCTCATAAATTCTGCTTTATTATGCAATACTAGCTTAAATCTAGTCTCAAGCTGGCAACAATAAATTGCATTGTATCAATGTGTTGTTTATTTCAGATATAGATGAATGTGCAGAAGGCAGACACAACTGTATCCAAGGAGTCCAGCTGTGTATAAACACACTGGGCAGTTACAATTGTGTAGACCATAAGACCATCTGTGGACGTGGCTTTAGGTATAATAGTACATATCTACACTGTCAAGGTAACTTCATTGACATTTCTGTATATATATGTATAGAGGGTGAGGCAGGAAAGTAGATGCTCAAGGATTTATTTAGAATGGGCTGTATTTAGTTATAATTTGTGGACTTCCACCCTATTCCCAAATTACAGCAGTCCAAATTTTCCACATTTGGCTTCACTGAGGATCTTAAAATAAGTGCAATAGAAGTGGTGCATCAGTTCAGTCACATGCGTGAAATATCATTGAACTAAGCAGAGTAAGTGTTCTGAGTCTATTGAGCTTGTGGAGATCAAGCCCTTAGTACCTGCATTATAAACTTTGATTACGTTCCAATTTTCTTATTTAGCTACTGTGCTTTTATCAGTTCTGGGGCCCTAATTATTTTGGGGTGGTTTTCCCAGGAGTGAACTTGATTAAAACATTGAGTACAATCAAACATCTAGTAGAGCAAAGTTCTGGGAATCAGTATTCCTTTTGTGTTCATGTCTCGGGTGATAATATTGAATGTTTTCTTTAATATACAATTTAATTTCAGATATCAATGAATGTGAAGAAGAACTGCATAACTGCAACGCACTTACACAGGTCTGCATCAATACTCGTGGAAGTTTCCAGTGTCAAAATCAACAGAAAGTTACTCCCCAGCCATTGTGTCCAGTGGGATTCCAACTTGACAGAGAATCTCAGACGTGTGTTGGTGGGTAATGAAGAATAGAAATGAGAATACATATTTTAATAAAAATTAATCTGGAAGAGCCAGTTTCAAGCATCAGTACATGTCCGCAATTTAGATTAAGAAGAAGGTAATTCTAGAAATTTGTGTTGACCATGTTAAGAATTGTCATAATAGGTTTTTGCAACTTTTGAAAGAAATGATAAGCTCAATGAAACTTCTGTTATTGTAGTTTCAAATGAGAGTATCTGCATTTAAGTTTTTCTTAAAGGTATTCTTTATATTGAAGTCACTCACTGTACTTGTATATTTGTTCTATACAATATTCAGAGGTTTATGTCTATCAGTCCCTTTTCAAGACACTTCCACACTGAATTAAGGAGACATGGCTGACATTTCTTGTATAGAGTACTAAAGGAGTTATCTGCCATTCACCCATAAACTTAAATATTATGTGAGACTAAACTCTGTTGCTTTCTCTTGTCCCACAGATGTAAATGAGTGTGCTGAGAGCCAGTTGAAATGCACACATGGAGAGGAATGTGTAAACACACAAGGAAGTTTCCGCTGCCTCAGAACATCAAAACTGAACTCAACAAGCGTGTCCTCGACAACAATTTTACCAGCTTTTCTAGGACCAAGTTTTCAAGACTCCAATCAGATCTGCCCTGCTGGTTTCCGATACAATACACAGAGCAGAAGATGTTTTGGTACCATTTGAAAAGCAATTATTTTATTCTAGACTGTAACTGCATACTGTTCTCCACTCTTAGATGATGCCATACATTCAGTCTTCTTTTTAATCCTTTCCTGTCCTCTTTCAGAAGATATCTGACATTGCTATTTTCCTGTACAGGCACATTTTTGGAATATTTCTGCCACTAACTTATGAACTTACTGCCACATTGTGGTACTGTTCTGAGTGTGAAATCTTTCTCTTTGCATTCTTGAACACCTCCCCTAGAAGCTCATTTGTAGGAACACCAGGTGCATAGTTTTACATTTTAACAAACCAAAGTGTCTTCTGTTTATATTTGCTTGCAAATTAATCTGTAGCAAGTTAGAAGTGCAATCTCAAACAGAAAAGATTGGAAAGAATTAAAGTTATTCATAGTGCATATATGATTGAAATATGTGTACATTTCTGTAGACCTCTTTGTTTTTGGTATTAATTTGAAGAAGCGCAAGAAGTTTTTACTCCATTGGAGCGAATATGAAACTGGTCTCTTTGGACATCAGACTCTGCCGTGCAAAGCGGAAGTGGTTATCAGAGAATTCTTTTTAAGTTTCAGACAGAAAAATTAATGTTAGGATCGAAATTGATAAATTTTCCTTCTCAATTTGATTGTGAAAATTTGACGTTCTCATATGTCTGAATGAAATCCTAATACCATGGCATGGAAGTGCATGTGTTAATAAGACAGCATGCTCTAAATAATTCATATAATTAGAATTATGTTTTTTATGGTACAAAACACTACCACTTTGCATTTGCTGAAAAATGGTGCTCTAAATATGTGCAGGGTATTATTTCAGTACCTATTTCTCATGAAAGAGTAAGGTTTGTGCTTTCTGCTTTGCACACACGGCTGAATTCATGCATTCTGAATCATATATTTTTATCCAATACATTTTATTCAAGAACAATGATATATGAAAAGGAAATGAAATTTAAAATCTGTGCATTTACGTGTTAAGATCTGTAAATTATGAGCTGGTAAGAAGTAATTATAAAAATGGACATATCTTTTCTGACCTCTGAGAAAAGAGGTCATAAAAAGATGGCATTATGAATAACCAGTATTTTTTCAGTAAACTTTGAATTTATTTAGCAATCAATCAATAGTGCTGGGCTTTCCCATACTGTTTCATTCTTAAGTGCAGTTCTGTTACAGAATATAGATGTAAATGCCTTATTTTACCAGTGAATATATGATTAAATAATTTCATCTGCCAAATTATTGGCAGTGAACACTGAGATGAGATTGGTTTTGAGTACAACTTTTCATCTGTATATATATAAAGTGAATGTAACATGAGGCAGAAGGTCTGAAATTAAGCAATTTTTGATTCATGTATTAACAAACTGTGTAGTATTAATATGTTGCTTGCACCTAACTTGTGTTGTAGATCATGAATGAGTGAGCATTTTTTTTTTCAATGTATTGTCTCTGTTCTTTAAATAATATTTTTATACGGATGCTTGAAGTATAGTGTGCTAACACAGGAAATGATTTACAGTTCAATACTTTCGCATGTTAATAATGGAGGTGACGTTAAATATTGGCCTCAACATTCATTTGGTAAGCCATAGGTTTGAAAAGGAGTAAACATTTTAAGAGGAATTTGCTGCCTCCTGCTTCAGGGTATAAAATGGAAGTAGCATATTTCCACAAAATGTTGCTGACTATATGATGTCATCCCAAAGACCATAATCCTAACAATCACCACCATGAGAACCTCATATCTCATATGACTCAAGCTTAACTCACTGAGAAGATCGTTATATAACATTCATGGTCCTACAGTCCTATTCAAATGAAAATGAGATATCTCTATGTCCTTTTACTGTTGCCATGAGACAGGCTCATTGTAATGTTGGGTTAATTTAGATCCTTATATTAATAGGTTTTTGGAAAATCTGTGCTTCCCTGTTTTCGTATTGTCATGTGTTGGGTGTTGGTAATGCGACAAATAACTTCACGCCATTTTGGATCAAGCGAATTTATTCCAACTCGCTCTTATAGTTACACAATTCACAGTTTCACAATTACTTCTGCTGCTGGAGTCCCTGCCATTCACTCAATACAACTCGACTCATAGCTTCAGAATTTAAAATTCAGTTTAAAATTACTTCAACTCATACTGGATACTAGTAACTGGCTCAGTCCTCACTACTCACTGCTCCTGAATAGTGTTCACTGCTCCTTATCTAGGCTCGGTATGGACAACATAGAGAACACCTTGCTGCTCAGCAACAGATATCAGGTATTGTTGTCAGGCGTTTCTCTCTACGCACTGCCTAGCAATAGACGCTTCACAGACTCGCCTGTTGCGTGACATCACAGCCTAGCGGGGAGGGGTGTTTACTGAGTGCTGTGTAGTGATGGGAGGAGTGGGGGTACATGACGTCACTCGTGGAAATGCATAGTTCACGTGGCCCCTACTTCCTTTGCGCCATCCATGTCACACTATGTTATTATCATGAAGTAGATAATTTTGGACTGTTTATCACAATTTTCAGTAATTTAAATGAGGAAAAGAAGAATGCAGCTTAATTTGTGCATTAAGTGCATGAAACTAACTAACATATTATTTATTTTAGTTGTAAGTTTTGTTTACTAATTGTTATGGTTGTAGTCATGCAAACTTCATTATAAATAAATGCATTGCGTTGGGTTTATCATGCTGATGTAACAAATAATAGCCTATTTAACAAACCAGCTTCTAACTTATTTCACATTTTATAATTGCTACACATTTAATATAGTTGTTTTTTATTTATTTTTTGCAAAGTTGTACAGTTGTATTGTAGTTACTATAGGATTCTGACGATGGTGTATAACACACTGATATATTGGGTTTTTGGACTTTATCCATCGTCCTGGTTTTTAAGATAACTAATAAAAACACGACGTTTCGGAAACTGGATCTGTTTCCGTCCTCAGGTGAAGGAAAACACCTATTCTGTTGGGTCCGTTAGAAAGAGCTAGCCTCAATCACTGGACGATTGATTGATTGAGGCTAGCTCTTTGTAACGGACCCAACAGAATAGGTGTGTTTTCCTTCACCTGAGGACGGAAACAGATCCAGTTTCCGAAACGTCGTGTTTTTATTAGTTATCTTAAAAACCAGGACGATGGATAAAGTCCAAAAACCCAATATATCAGTTGTATTGTGGTTGTAATATCCTATATGTTTTCTTTTAGTGTTCTGAAGAAAGGTTAACTTGTAGTAATTTATATGGAATTATTTTCTAAAAGAACTTTCAGTCCTGTTATAATTCATAGACTCATTTATTTATTACTTAGTATAATAACTCTGTACTGTTGTATTGTACTATAAAATATGCTCATTAATATAGTGATAGTGACACTCTACTACTATAATTGTTATTTGAGTACCGGGAATAAGTCTTGCCTATTTTCTTTCACCTTCTAATGTGAAGATGTGTAGCTCATGAAGCTTATTTCCATGTCACCTACACATTCAACATGAGTGTAGTATGAGCATTGATGTAGAAATGAAATCAAGTCTTATGACACTACATTTTACTAGTTTTGATTAACAATCTTTACTAGGTACTGTGCTATACGTGTCGAATGTTCATTGTCATTGTCTTTTCTTTCCATCACAAATCTGTGTGGTTGCGCGCATGTGCATGTGCATAGTACGATGCAATTAATAATTGACTGTGTATGTTATGGAGGGGTATAATTTATAATAGTCTAGAACAGGATCAGAAACTGGCAGCAATTAGCAGCACTGAGAGGTGTCTGTACGTCAGATGGTATTATAGTCGCAGCCTGAACTGATAAAGTTACATAATGTGCAAAGTCAGTGTCACTCAGAATTTAAATACCTAGCAGTGGAAGGGTTGCCTGTGAAACTACAATTAGAAATTGTAATTGTCCAGTGTTTCCATTGAATTTTCGATGGACATATCACTAGAGTAAATAATATATAGTGTTAACTTCATGATTTCAGAGACTGCTGTTGGTTGATGGCTATTTTGGCTTGCAGAAAATAAACATCTCTTCCTTAGAGTAGTGATTTGTTTAGCGTGCTGCGTATGCTTCTTGCATGTCTTCTTGGGTAGCTGTAGTGTAGGTACTTCAGCACATGTCTGTTATACACTGTGCATGCCTGTAGGGCATATGCAGACTGAGGAAGAATATGCATCCCTAAAGAGAATGAAGATAAACAGGTACATCCAAAATTATACATCTTCTAATCTGTTGAATTGCTAAGGGCTTGTATTTCCAATGTGAAGACTACTGTCTTCTGAGCATTGGCACCATACAGTCTGGTAGAAAATTATCAATGTTTTGGATAGTCTACCCTGAATATGGAGGCACTAGGTTCATCCAAGTTGTTGGTATCTTTCTACTGGACTACAAGGTTTCAGATCCCAAAGGAGTAATTTTATTTTCGCTGTCATTAGAATGCCACATCTCGTTAACTACCTTAACTGTAGAATACATGTATATGACTCAGCACGGTGGTCAGGTTGGTAACACTCCTACTTTGCATTTAGGTGACTTTGGGTTTAAATCTCAGCCTGAAATCAGCTATCCTGACTGAGGCATTTCTTGATGTTTTCATTCCTTCCAGAGGAATACTGGGATAGTACCTCAAATTAATCCACAACTTTTTCCTTCCACATCCTCTCTATTTCATTGTTCAGCAATCATTTTAAAATTCAGCACTGTATAACCTGAGCTACTAACAGCATCATTAAGTAAAATGTAAATAAGAACAGTTGTATAAGTGGCAGTCTGAAATGTTTTGTTGATTTTATTACCGATTCTTTTTTGTCTTCCAGGCATTATGAACGATCTACATTATAACATTTTGTAACCTAAAGTTACTAGTGTTTGTTCAAGTTCTGGAAAACTTCTGTGTTGGTACTCAAGAGTATATTTTTTTTTTGTGCAGATGTGAATGAGTGTGAGGAGGGGACTCATGTCTGCAGCAGGGAGGCGTGTATCAATGAGCCAGGAGGCTACAGATGTGTGCCTAAATCCTCAGATGCACGTCAGTGTCAGGCAGGCTTAAAATCTGACCACGCCACTGACACATGTGTGGGTATGTAATATATATTTATATATATAACTTCTCAATAATCTTTTACGTGTCATATTTATTTCAACACCACCAACCCAGCCTCATACCCAGTGGAGACCACAGGCGCTCTCCCCAGGCATACAGAATGTCAGGCTCACCACACTCTCCTTCTAGTACCAACATTGAGAATGAGAGGAACTGTACCTTCACTTCTCCACACATCTTCACATTGTGGTGCTTAATTAAGCACATGGACGTTTAAGGTTTTATGGTGGTGACCAGTTCATGTTGTAGTCTTTTGACTTATGACATTGTGAAGTCTGATAAGTGGTTATCAAATTTTCAGAGGAATATGTTGCCTTGATCTTCTACCCTGAAAATGGAGGCAACATATACCTCTGAAGCATTGGTAACCATCTGCCAGACTACAATTTGTTGTGACCCAGAAGACCAAATTTTACTTACTCCTAGACATTATCAGATTAATTGAAATCTGAACATATACTCTGTGTGGTTCTCCCTATAAACTAGGCATGCCAATTTATTTGATAATTTGAATGCTTAAATAAACTCTTAATGTTCATCTTGTAAAACATTTAAAAAAGCAAAACAGTTCAGAAAAATATTTGGGAAGCTGAGATAAATAACATTAATTATTGTATTGTAAGATTTGAGGCTTTCATGGCGGTGACTATGAAGAAAGCAGTCTTCTGGGATTTGGCACCGTGTATATGTGGTGTTAACCGACGTTTCGGAGGAACGTATCGCCTCCATCTTCAGGGTAGACGCTTGCAGATTTCTTATATTTTTTCTTCTACCCTGAAGATGGAGGCGATACGTTCCTCCGAAACGTCGGTTAACAGCACATATACACGGTGCCAAATCCCAGAAGACTGCTTTCTTCAAGTATTGTATTATTTCATTGTCCATGATAAATTGTTCATAAATTTTATTTGTGAGACTTATTTGTAGCTGCTGTTACATTTTAGATTTATTTTGTGCATGTTGTGAAGAACTTGTTTCATGCTTACATATTCTGAATCTGAATTAGGGTATGCTTGAGGGACAAGAGATAAGTGGTCAGTGTGTTGCAGATATTGATGAATGTGCAGAGAATACGGATCCCCCATGTGACAGTAATCAAGAGTGCATGAATACACATGGAAGTTTCCAGTGCATATGTCAGACTGGCTTCCAGCTGGACCCTCTGCTTCATGCCTGTGTTGGTAAGATTTTCATTCGTTTCACTATATAAGAAGCACGTACTTTTTAGTTGGAACCCTGAAATTAAATTATAGAAAACAAAAGAAATCTAAAAGTCTCAGCAGAAATGTAATGCCAAGTATCAATTCAAAGTCTATATTTTAGTGATCTATGTTCAAAGTCTCTCTCTTTGCCTACTTCAGAATTGTTTCCCAGGAGAAATGAAGAGAATTAAGTACATTCGGTGTTCCCCAGAAGATATTATTTAAACATAACACTACTGATATACTGGGGACTCATTCGCCCCCAGGTAAAGTAGCAGGAGCATGAAACTGACCACTCACCTCCATCTAGTGTTGAAGTGGAGCTATACCCCGACTCCCCCATACAAGGTGTGTCCCAAAAGTCATGAAATATATATATATATTTTTAAATTTATTGATGATATCGGTACAAAGTGTTAATATTCTTCAAAGTACTGTCCATGAGCATCTACACATTTTTCCACCAACTCTCCCATGCCCGGTACGTCCCCTCAAAGGCCTCGATGGGAACCTCATTTAAAACTGTTGTCACAGCCGCTTGGATAGCCTGAATGCTTTCAAAACGGCATCCTTTGAGTGCAGTCTTGATCCTCGGGAACAACAAGAAGTCGGCCGGAGCTAGGTCGGGGCTGTAGGGTGGCTGCGGCAGCTCGTCCATCAACAATTTGGGGACCAGCTTGGTGCATACCTTTTGCATGTTCAATTCGTCCATAACGATGCGATGCACAATGGTTTTTGGAATGTTCAGCGTGTTGGCTAACAACCGGACAGTCATTCGATGGTCAGTATTCAACAAATCACGCACACGAGTCACATTTTCATTGGTTTGGCTTGTTGATGGCCGTCCAGAGCGGGGGTCATCTTCCACTCCTTCCTGGCCCTCCTTAAACTTCTTCACCCACCTTGTAACTTGCACATATGATAGAGCAGACTCCCCATAGGCTTGCTTAAGCAGTTCATGAGTTTCGGCAGCTTTTTTGTTGAGCTTTGTGCAGAACTTGACCACCCAACATTGTTCGAAATTATCTGCCATTGCATGCTGTGACGTGGTCGTAAAACACAGGTGCACTAAATCAGCGATACTGACGCCTCCGATGCTCAAGCAGACTGACCTTGGGTGCGCTGTGAAGCTAAAGGCCNCCCCCCCCCCCCAACGCAACCGGTTCCAGCGCGCTCCAACTAGTGAGCGCGGGAAAGAAATAGATTTCATTACTTCTGGGACACACCTTGTATGTCTTAATGGCATAATGTTTAGTAATTAAACACAGGAGCAACTTTACCTTTTTACCATATCACTAATGATAATGATAATATAATTGTGTGAATATTAAATGATATTCATAATACTGAGGGTGCATGGTAGCGTAGTTGGTTGAGGCACTGTGCTACAAGCCGGAAAGTCGTGGGATCAAATCCCAATCAGGTGGATTTTTTCAATTTACCTAATCCTTCCAGCTGCACTATGGCCCTGGGGTCGACTCAGCCTAACAGAAATGAGTACCAGGAATATTCTTGGGGGGTAAAGGGCGGCCAGCGCGTAAGACTGACAACCTTACCGCCATCTATGAGCTGATTGTCTAGAAAATGTGGGAATCTCAACATCTCACAACCCTATGAGCCTTCGTGGCCTGTTACAGGGATACCTTTATTTTTTTTGTAATAGTGGTAATAAGAATAATATCAGTGTATTTACAAGGTACTTGAATTTGAGACCATAATTGCTCATTTATCAGATATCAATGAGTGTCAGCTGAACAAACACGATTGCTTGCCAAGTCAGCGCTGTGATAACACCATTGGATCATACCAGTGCATCCGTTTCACGAGCTGTGGCACAGGATACACACTGAATGCTCAGACAGGACTGTGTGAAGGTAAGCACTGGAGTGCATTAAGAAATAATGGCAACTTCTAGGGATGAAGAGTATTAAAAATATTTTCCAAAAGCATACAACCATCGTAAACAGCTGTCATCATCCATTTCCCTTTCATGTTTCCACTTTTGTGTGGGTCATCTAGAAATGAAGCCTTTCCATCTATCTTTGTTTACCTGAAACTCTTCCTCCTCCGTTTCTGCCATGTTCTTCTTTCTTCCTCCTTCATTACATCTTTCCAAATGTCTTGGCCTGTCTCATGGGTATTTTCCTTTCAGTTTCATGTTTGAAATTTCCTTTGGGATTTTACCTTTGTTCATTCTTATAATGTTCAAATACCATCTTAGTCTGTTAGTCATTAATTTACCTTCAAGTGTATCCAGCTGTAGATTTTCTTTAATAATTTCATTACCTCTTCCCTCCCTCTCCTTACAAACCTCGTCTCACGTGTCATTTCTTTACTTACTGATGTATATTACTTGGTTTGTGTGTATGTTTCTGCTCTGTAATACAGGTGTGTGTGGGCACTTATATAAACTTATTTTTTCCACATTTGGCATTTTCTATTCCATACATATATCCAAAGTAATGGGTAAAATTTTTCTGCAGTGTTTTGTTTTCTTTCCATAATTCCCACGTGTACTCTCCCATGTCACTAACAATCTGCACTTTATATATTTCATAATTATTCGTATTATACATATTGTGACATGTTGCGCAAAGCCGAGCCCCCCCCACACCAGCAGTGACGCGGCGGGTGAGTCAGCGCTCCCCTCCCACCCCTCAGCGGTAACGTAACGCTCGCGTAATAGGCGAGTAATCACGCCGCATCCTGGCAGCCATGCGCGGTGACGTCACGAGCGGAGCCGAAGATAGCCGAGCCTCGTAACCGGGTAACTATGCAAGGCGAATCAACAGCGGTGACGTAACCGGACAGCGTGGCTAGCAACAAGGGTGCCTATTACGTGGCCGTATTGTCCGATCGAGGCTACATAGTGAGAAGCGAAGGCTATTCACAGTCAGTTGTACTGTAACAGTCGCCGAGTCGAGTTGTACTGAGTCAGTCAGTGAGTCCTGGAGCTACCGCCGAGTTAGCCAGCAACTAGTCAGTTGTATTCTGGCATTTGGAGTGTACTAATTGTGATACTGCAGATAGCAGTAACCGTAAATCTGTAATTTGGGTGATTGTAAGTGCGAATGTGAAATAAAATTCGCTATACAAAATACGGCGTGAAGTTATTTGTCGCGATATACGCCCGATACGCGACAATATTATGATTATTCCATTAATAGAGAGTTTTAACCTGAAATATTTTTTAATGTCAAACATGGTATGTTTTTAATTCATAATTCATGTATTTACTCTGGCTGTTTTCTTTCTTTCTTTTTCTTTTTGCGGGGGTGGATATAAAGTATATTGAAAGAGTGCTTAATTTTCGGCAGAATTTATGGTTTTGCTGCCCTACAAGAACATGTAGTGTTCTTTGCTGTTGACATGTATGCCACAAAAGTAGCCCTGGTTCAATCGTATTTACATCTGGTTTCTTGATTATTGTTTTTCAGGAGGGTAAAATGTAGAGTTGATTTGAGACTGTGTGGCCATTTTGATATTTGTGGCATGCTGGCAACGTTGCAGGCACATTTTAATATCTCACATTACCACATTTCAGATATAGAAGTTTGCAGATTATCATGAAATAAAAAAGTTAATTATGTAATGTGAATGCACTCTTTGACACATGACCTATTGAAAGTGAGATGTTGCTTATACATGTGCTGTTCTCTGAACTTCTAGAATGATATGACATTGGGGCTTCCCTGTCTGTACGCTATGACCTTGTTACTTTGATACGTATGATTATAAAGATAGGGCATCAGTATGAAGCCAAATGTTATGATTTCTTGTCCATCCTCTTTCTCAGCCTTTTCATCTAGCAATCAGACCTCTCCATCTCTTTCATGTCTTCCAAAACTCTTCCTCCTTCCTATTTTGTGACATCTTTCATAACCTGTTGCTTCCATCTTGATTCAGTTCTTCCCCCTATGGCATTTTCCTTTTAGTTTCATGTTCAAAACATTCTTTGAGATTGTATCATTGCAATCTTAAAATGTGCCTATTTTTTTACTGCTAGTGGGGTGGGACTAAGTCCCTTGTACTGCGGCCACTTCTGGCCTATCGTACCAGCCCCAGATGATAGGTGAGGGTGATTGTGGAGCAGTTGGTGGAATGAAGATTGGGAGGGGAAACCAAAGTACTCGGAGAAAACCTGCCCCAGCGCCACTTTGTCTACCACAAATCCCACTTGACCAGACCCGGGATCGAACCCGGGCCTCTCCCATATACATCTAAAAATACTTAGAGCTGTTTTATACTTTTAAGATATACTAGGACAAGGTTCGTACCTTTAGTTTAATTTGCGACTAATGAAAGATAGGCGTTTATATACCCTGTGTGTGTTCAGCTTAGTTCTTAACTTTACTTTCACTTTAATATTTATTGAGTGACATTTTTGTATATGTGCTCTCTCTGCAGATGATGATGAATGTGCATTGGGGACCGATAATTGCAGAAATCTTGGTCCCACGTGGCAATGCCGCAACACTCTCGGTTCCTTCCGCTGCGAGAGGAAGCACTGTGATGACAAGAAAGTACTGCTTAGCAATGGTGAATGTAAAGCGGTTGAGTGTCCTACTGGTTATGAAGCGAGTCAGCAAGGCCAGTGTATCGGTAAGCCAGTAAATAGTTCGTGCGTTGTCGATGCTGTCAGTGACAGACACGTAAAACTAAAAATAAATGTTCATTGCTCTTAGGGCAGGAAGTGTGTCTGAATAATACCCGTGGAGACTCCCTTCGTAGCAACTAGCCTGGTCTGGGGATGACATTGCTATTGGAGGCCCCTGAAAGGGCCGTTTGTCTCAAGCCTCCATTGCAGCAAACTAGCTAGTGCGGCATGCTTCCTTGCAGCAGCCCAATGCGCTTCTTTTACTGCAGCTTGGTGGTTGCAAGCTGATGGGATAGTGGAAAGTCTGGCTGGCTGGCAGACATACAGTGCATGCGCTGGCAGTCAGCTGCAGTGTTGTTACTAGTAGAGTTGCAGCTGTGGTGATCTCTTGAAGCAAGCATGGCGCTGACTGATGTGAGTAGTATGGCTGATGCTAGCGTGTTGGAGGCCAGCATCTTTATACTCTTGCTGCTGGGTGGTCCGTCACGAATGGGCGGTGGAGCTGCTGTTATGAGCACTAATTGGGTAGCGCTTATGTGGGTGTCCAGAGAACCAGGTTGAAAAGTGTGATATATAAATATTGCCTGCTCCTGCTATGCTGTGGAAGTTGTATGTTAGACTGTGGGAGGTTCCCACAAGTTTCTAATAATTTTGGGTAATAATTTGAAGTGGTGAAACATATTTCTGGATTGTATAAACAATAGAGTGTGAATGTATTTATACATCATATATTAATCACCACCATTTAAATTCCTTCCATAATTATGATGGCTATTAGTATGCAGTATATTGTAGCATATCTTATGAATGCCTCTTATAAAAATGGAATGTCATTCTTTTGATATTATAAATTCAGGAAATGGTTCCCTCTTTCCTTTAGTCTAAGAAAGAAAGATTATGTAATGTAAACGATATCCAAGCAAATCCAGAAAAAATGTGCAGTGACTGGTGCTACTGTGTAGAGAAAATATTTTAGCAAATTTTGGCTATAAAATGTAAATTTTATCAAAAGTATGTAACCTCTCTTTTTCTTTGACTAGTGACAGTACCACAGTGGCTCTAAGCATTTTGGTCTAGAGGTAATGTTCTAGAACTATATTCAGGAAGTGCTTGGTTCTGACCCTAGAAAGGTTAATGGCTATGCTGAATGATTTTCTTTTGTTTTCTTCATTTCTTCCAGGCATATTCCATAATGGTACCTCATTTAGATCATCACTTCATCCTTTCAAATCCTTTCTAGTTCATCAGTCATTGTACCATGAAACACTAGATAGTCTCAATACCGAAAGCATCATTACATAATACACATTAAAAAAAGAACATTACAGTTGTCCTTATATAGTTCACCACTGAACAGCGGAGGTACATTTGTTTGAGTCGCAACTTGGCTGACTGTATCAGTCAGTGGTTAGCTGTCATATGCAAATTAAACAATGACACACACATAATAAATTCCTCTAATATATATTATGTGCCGGTCACAGTAGCCGAGCGGTCTAAGGCATGCACTGTCTTTGCTCGCTCGGAAGCCGGGATCGTGTGTTTGAATTCCACTCAGGGCATGGGTGTTTAGTTTGTGTGTGTGCGTTTTTCTGTGTTTGTGTACAGGTAGAGGCCTTGTGACGAGCTGATCACCCTCCCAAGGAGTCCTACCGAATGTATAAGATCTAGAAAAACTGAAGTGAACGGAGAAGTTCATAGAGGTAGGCCTAGGCCCACTGGGGCTGTAGTGCCAAGGAAAAAAATAGATATTATTTCCAAATTACCACTATATGCACCATTTTTTTTCTCTGTACCTTTTGCATTCTTCCATCGTATTAATATTCAGCCACATATTTTGAATCATCTCAACTGTAAAAAAGGACGGAACCTTCAGAATAAACAAGTTCCTTCACTCATCCACTCTTACAAATTAAGTAGTGATTACACTGATTCATATCCTGTCATGATTTAGTGCTCTCAAAACATATGCCTGCTGTAAAGGTGCGTGAATGGATGATATATTTTAGAGGGTGGAAAGCTCACTTTTGATTCTCATTTTGTTTTGTTTAAGATATAAATGAATGTCAGCGTAACAATCCCTGCAGGCGGAATCAACGCTGCCTCAACACTGCTGGCTCATATCGCTGTATCAGTTACCTCAACTGTGGTGGTGGCTTTGAACTGAATGAGGCAGGAAACCAGTGTGTTGGTAAGTACATTTAAGTGCTGCAGCTGAAGAACTTCATTTTTAACATAGACATGGGAAATTCACTGCTGTCAATTGTTAATACTGTGAATAGTGTTTTACATTTGTTGTTATTCAAACTGGTTTTTTAGGGGCAAAAATTAAGAGAATACAGGTAATCCCCATATTCAGCAAATTTCACATCAACGTCATTTTATATGATTTTCTTTTTAATTTAAAACTTTTATCGAAGACTAAAAAATATTTCTATTAGTTGTCTGTGTGAACTTGGCAGAGGTAATATTGAACAAAACATTATTTTTTTAGTTATGATCTAATAACCAAGATTCTTCTGCCAATAAATTGGTAAGATCCGCTTGAGAAGGATTATGGTGGACACTTGTTAATTTATATCTGTTTGTTTATCACAAATTTCTCTATGTTTTACAAATTAATGATTAATTTATTGTAAACATCATTAATGCTTCTTCCATGGAATTTAACTAAACATTGTCTAATATGTTAACCATGTTTAGTTAACAGATACAATACCGAACACATGCATTCCTGTTATTGAATTGAATTGAATTTATTTACATTCTATAAATCCTAAGCAGGTTAGTACCTTTGGATACAGAACATGTCAAAAGGTTACATACATAAGTACAGGCAATTTTAGCTTAAAAATTAATATAACTTAATTTTACATCATTCTCTATTTACATTGAAGTATTCATCTAAAGAGTAGAAGGAATGAGCATGTAGATAATTCTTTAACTCTGATTTAAACTTTTTAGTATCATTGCCCAAGTTTTTAATACTTTGTGGCAGATTGTTGAACACTTTTATGCCAGTAAAGTAGACTCCTTTTTGATATACTGATAAAGTTGATGAGGGTAGGTGGAAGTTATATTTTTGTCTAGTATTCATGTTATAGACATCAGAATTTAATTTGAATTTATCTTTGTTGTAAACAACAAATAGGAGAAGCGATAATATGTATTGCGATTGAAGCGGTAGAATTTTTAATTTCTTAAATAATTCTCTACATGAATCTCTACTTTCTACATCCTGTAATGATTCTTATTATATTCTTTTGTATTTTAAAAATTATTACACTATGTGAAGAGTTCCCCCAAAATATTATAGTGTTACATCAAGGAAATTAAGTTGAAGTGATTTAAATATGCAGCACACATTAATAAATAAAAAATCTGGAATGGAAATCTCCAGATAGAATTGTCATGTGGAACCAAAGGCATAAATGAGGGTTTCTGTGAGAGACATAGGAAGTGTTCAAAATCTAGTAACAGTTTCAAGACCGAGTCAACGTAGAAGTCAAAGGCACATTATGATTGATGGTCAGTCTTGGTGTCAAGCCCCATCTGGGGCCCAAGACAATATTTCTATACTGTGACAATTTCAGCCTAATTGATGTGGGGTGCCCTCTCTGACAAGAGAACAGGTCTGTCATTTGTCGTGGTCATAGTACATTACATCTATATTTATAATCTTACTGGTTGGAGTTTTACATAGTCTTTTGTTAAGAGTTTCATTGGATGCTATGACTTTGAGGAGCCTGTGAAATCTAGCAGCCATTTTGCTTCACGAGTTTTAATGCATTTTTCATGATGGTCAGTATTCTGTCATGATGGGTTCAATTCCTGTTGAGGTGATTGAATTTTTTAATTGACCTAATCCTTCCATCCACACTGTGGCCCAAGTGTTGACTCAGCTTGTAGCAGAAAAAAGGACTAGGAATCTTCCTGAGAATAAAGGGCAGCCAGCAGCTAGGGCTGACAACTTCACCACCATCAGTGAACGGATTGTCTAGAAAATGTGGGGGCCTCAACATCTCACAACCCTATGGCCCTCCACAGCCTGTTACAGGGATAGCTTAACCTTTTTACTATTCTGTCTTCTGCCTTGGTCCCATCGTTCAAAATTGAATTTCTTCTGAATATTATACAAGGATTGAGTTTGTACCTCACAGGAAACACATTACATCTCCACTACAAAGGTCAGATGGTTAATGCTGCTTAAGGAAACAATCTATTTATCTGAGAACCATGTAAAATACGAAAACGCACTATGTGAACATAACGCAGATTTTTAACATCTTAAATGAGGCAGTGCACATAGAACCATGGAGGTAAGCAACTACCTACTCCCATTTCCAAGGGTTCTACATATTGTTACAGATTTGCTGAATATTTCAGTTTCATATTGTTATGAAATTAGCATATTTCAGCTTAGAAGATCTGAATTATGCTAAATCTGATTTTATAGTCATACACAGAGCAATCCAGAACAATTAATTCAGGATCTTGGTGTTTTGAAAGATGCTTATATTTGAATTCTGCTTCTAGATATTGATGAATGTGCAAAATCAACACACGACTGTGGACGTGGTCAACTGTGTATCAATCGTGTGGGTGGTTACATATGTCAGTGTCCCAGCGGCCATGTGTTAGACGAGCAGAAAGAATGTGTTGATGTTGACGAATGTACCAGGTTTGCAGGCCAAGTAAGTGTATGCTCCCCCCCCCCCATTAAGACTTATGTTTATGATCTACATAGAGTGTATTAATGCTGTAAACACTCAAATAAATTTTTAGTTTTATGAGTGTACTCTTTGTAGGACATTCAGTCAGCAAAGAGGAATTGATACATTGTCAATAACAACCTTTTCCTTCATTGTAATACTCATTTGTAATGTGACGTGATACCAGAAAGCAGGAATAGTGGAGTCAGATCGGAAGTTGATTTCCTAGGCAATGAGTATTAGCAGAGGATGTTCCTGTGACGATGTATTATACATGCTATTCTGTGAAAACATTTGACTAGGCATATAGGTTACTGCGGAGTTGGAGGTGTTTCCATGGTAACGCGTGCTTAAGCAGACAGTTACTGCAGATATGAAATACAGAACTGTTCAACCCACTATCCCCTATTCGGTACACCAAGCAGATATGAAACAGAATGCATTCGTGAATAAACGCAGAGCTCAGAAGTGAAGTACGAGAAAACACAAAAAATGTGTGAACTCTTATAATTGAATGTAATTGTGATACGGACATCAAATAAACCTAAGCATTGAATCCAGAATCCACAATACATACATACATACATCACACATACATACCAATATCATTAAAGCAGATGCTTTCGTTAGTTTTATTCCCCCCCCAATTGGATGGCTTGTGGTGATATTTGGATTGGTAATTGGATTACACATTGTAACTACAAATAACTATATCACTATCACTAATTCATACACTCCACAGTACACTACAGCATGCACTAAGTGTTTGCCTGCTGTGTCATCGCCAGTTGTCTGGTAACTGCTGTCAATATCATAGATCCCTCAGCTTCATGTTCAGTCGCTTATGTTGTCGCTGGCTGGCTCCTATCTCGCAACTAAACTCAGCGTTGGTACACAATGACTTACAACAATCGGGGTTCCTCTGCCTCCCATGCCTCCTCTAGGGGCAGCTATCTCAAATAGCTTCAGACTGGGACTGGTCTGTCTGCCTTCAAGTCACAGTCAGAGTTACTTTGTGACTGATGGTTTACTGTCAATCAGTTCATCTTTGTGTCAAGCCCCTTGAGACTCATGATCAGAGTTGTTTTTCAACTGAGCCCTTGCAGCGTGGACCCAACAGAATACACCACTTCCCACAATTTCTCTACTGCAGCATGATGTGACTATTGCTGCGGGCCCACAGGGAACACCGTTCCCAGCAGTCTTCCATTTGTTACGTTACATGGCAGCACATATTCCATTGTGTCATTGCCTAGCAATAGCTGCATTTTCCATTCCCAGTGTCACATTTCTCCCTCCTTAGGGCTGCTTGTTCTGAGTAGCCAACAGGCATACCACCATCTCTTCTTTTCAGAGGGAACGTGCCTGTGGCATGTGGCAGATGGCACTTCTTACTCATTGGCGCCAACATTTCTTCCAGTTCCGATGGTGTTCAGCTTTCTTTCCTTGTTGGTTGGTTTTCATGTTGCTGCCTTCCAGCCTTGCCAGCCCCTCCCTCCTTAGGGCTGCTCGTCTTGAGCACAATGATCCTTTCGCTTGCGCATCTCTCTTAGCATGCTTCTACAACCAGTGGCCTCTTCACCTCGAGCCTGGCCCCTTGTCTGGGGGTTGTACCAGCATTGTCGCTTCAGTTTGATGGGCGACCCTGGAACCTGTACTTGCAAGGCTACCCACTGCCTCCAGGGATCGTTTCAGATGCACCACCGCAACTCTGCCACACCGAGCCGCAGATACATCACTGTTGCCCTCCCTACACGGGGGGTGGTGTGTTCATGACCCTGGGAGCTGCACATGGCACTTCCTGTTTTCCCAGTCATAGCACAAGGCACTTCAGGTCCACTGCTGCATTGCAGGTGTGCGGAACATGGAGTCCCAAGATGAACTCCCTGATAATATTGGCAATGACGGCTTAAGTTTTCAGTGGAACCTGCCCCAGAGTCAGTGACGTGAAAACTTCCATGGAGATGAGGAGTATCTCCACCGATGCCCCCATAGGGCACACTTCTTGGATGGCTTTCTCTCTCTAGCAGTCCTGCTATGATGTCTTGTCTGGCAACAGTCACTACTACTCCTTTGTCGATAGTTACCAGACATTCTTTCGCCCCTGTTTGTCTGTGTGTAGGCTGTCATGGCCATCTTCATCCTGCACCCTGGACACACAGCAAGACTCATAAGCGTTACACACATCACTTCCACCTTATTTCTTCTTCCTGGTCCTGCGCTTCTGGTATCGTTCCATGAAATATTCCTGGGGTCATCCCTGTTGGCAATTCTTCTTACCATGACCAACACCCCCACACTGCAGAATTATAAAATCAATAAAAATGTCAGTCGAACTCTAGGATCCTTTGGAGCCTTAGGATAGAAAAGAGTACTTTGGCTGGAGGGAATTTCATTATATTATTCTGGAATGTAGTTTCTTAAATACTAGGTAATATAAATGAAGAAATTCTTATTCACAGTTTATCATGGATTTTCCAAGACCCTCCAGACAAATACTGTGATAGGGTATTGAAACAGGCGACTGACATTTCCTTCTGCATTTTTTCCTTTTCATCACGCATTCCTGAGGTATATTTTGTGACTGAAATTTGGCAAGGAGCAGATTCAGCTAAGAAGGATTCACACATCCTGACAGGGCATATGTACTTGATGGTGAATTTATGAAATGTAGAATTATTTTTATATATGTAATTATAATAACTTCTTTCTAGGTGTGTGCCATAAATTCTAAGTGTGTCAACAATGTAGGATCTTATCGTTGCGTGTGCAATGATGGATTCCGTCAGGATCCAAAAGGAGGCAATGGTTGTGTAGGTAAGTCTGTTTCTTGATTTATTGTTACATATTCAATGCCAGGATATTTACATATGTATGAGTACTACCTACAAAAGCATAGCCTTTATTGTTGAAACGTGTTTACTGAACCATTGCATAGCAGTGATAGCAGCACGGACTCCACAGAAAGCCTGTCATCTGATAGCTACCTCGCCAGTCCATTGGTATGCAGACTGTCGCCTAGCAACGGTGGGATGAACATTTGTCCTGTTGTTGTAAAGCGCTCAACTGAAGGTTGTTTACAGGTCGTTGCCTAGAAATGCTCTGACCATCCACATTACAATATTACAATATTTTTAAAATTTTAATTTAAATAATTAATATTTAATGCATTTTATAACATAAGAGCATTACATAAACAGTATACCTGTACAAAGCACTCCCAATATATAAACACTGGCCAGTGTATGGAGGTACAGCAGATAGAAGGAAGGTGACTGTAAAAGGCCTATGTACGTGATCGTGGCCACATTAGACCAACACATGTAGTACAAAGGTACATTTGGCTTTTTTGGCTAGCTGAGTGACTATTAGCTTCTCAAGAAGGCCTCTGGTTTATGTAATTAGTTGTAATGAAATTTTAGCGGTCCGGGTATTATAACTTTATTGTTTGAGGCCATTGAAAATATCCATGATTTCATGGTATAATATACCGTCATATTCGAGACATGTGATCTTGAAATTTTTATTGGAATATGAAAATCTCTCCTGATTTTGTCAGCGCTAGTGTCACAGTGATCGAAGTCAATGATCTGGATCATCCTTTTTTCAAGGCATGGAGCAGTCTTGATATGTAAAATTTCCACTTCTCTCACTGCAAAATGCGATGAACGTTAGTTTTACAGACACCAGTATCACAAGAACATGAAACCCACACACATTTTTTTTGGGGGGGTGGGGCATTCTATATGTATAAATTTAAGGTTCATGGTGCTAACTGGTAGTTCTAGTTTTGTAACCCCTAAATTGGGGGGGGGGCAGGGAACTCATCTTCCAAATAACTGGCAGAAAAGATACAAGTCCCTCAACTTATCCCCATGTTAAAGCAAAAGCAATTGGCAGAAAATTCTCAAGTTCTGAGATAAAATAACTAACATTTGTATTAAGATCAAAAAGATTCTTTTTCTTTATTGAATTTCAAAAGTTCAAAAGTTATACAAATTGTTATCAACAGGAAATAATTAATTTAAGTAGCATGACAAAGGATTGTGTGCTGATATGAATACAGTATCTTGGTTATATACACAGTTAGTTGAGAGGGTTAATGTTTATTGTTGTAGATATTGATGAATGTGCAGAATCTACTGGCCTCTGTCAACAGAACTGTGTAAATATCTGGGGCTCCTACAGATGTTCATGCAACCCTGGCTTCACTCTGCATCATGACAACAGGTGAGAAACACTTTAACTGCAGTCCTTATAAATGACAAATATGATAGATCTATTCCTGTAAAGTCTTATTCCTTTATTCTTTTGCTCCAAATATTGTCTGTCATTCAGTATCCAGTAAGAACAAGAATTATTTTTATGATGAATCCAGATTTTAGTATAAGTGCCCTGTTCTTCTTCTTCTTCTTCTAGCATAATTTTCTTTCATACATTGGATGACAGATGAAAAGTCTCTGGTCCTTTTTTCTTGCCACAAACTTGTCCTTTTGAATTTTGTCAGCTCTTTCCTGTCTTCCTGATACCTAAATTTTTATTTCAGTGCTCTTAATATTGTAATGTGTTTTGCCACTGAAGACGCCGTTCAGATTGTTAATTGGTTTATTTAACAACCTACAAATCGTAACTACAATTAATTTTACCACAGTTTATAAACCCTACACAATAATCTGTTCACTCTATCTTCAATAGCCTTCACTTATTCACAGTACAACACGGGAGCTGTACAAGTATCTCTGAATTACACGCTCCCAATATAATGGTACTATAGTACACACAAAGTCTTGAAGGCACACAATAAGTCTACACTGGCTGGCTTCTCAGATATCGCACACTGTCATATAAAATCTTCTGACCACGCATTCAGTTCTTCTTTCTGCGACTGCTTCTATATTTCAACTGTCACTGACACTTATCACAATTACGTCTTCTGATGCAGTCGTTTCCATTCACTTGATGCAACTCAACTTGTAGCTGTTGGACTTCACTGGACTCAGTGAATGCTACAATTCAACTGACTTGGCAACTTCACGATCTGCACTGTGTCCCTCCTAATCACCCACTCTGGTCACATACTGCTCAGCCGGCTTTTTATACCGTTCCCTGTTGCCTCGTATTACAGCGGTGGTCCCCTTGTTACGTCACAGTAGGAAGTGTTGTTACGTCACCGCGGGGAGGGGGACGGAGTGTTGACTGGTCTGTTACCATAGGAGCTGTTACGCTGTTACATCACCACTAGCTGTGGAGGGGGTGTCCTGCGTAGTGCAAATACGTCACAATATTATCCTTTTCTTACCCAGTCTTCTTATATACCCAGAATACTGTAGTTGTTAGTCTCCTAACTCTATTAACAAATTTTGAATTCCAACTTCTCTAAAAATTTATTTCTGATTCTGTCACCACTTCTTTTCTTATCAATACTTCTCAAAAAAATTATATGCATTTCTTGGATTTTGTGTTTATTTCTTTTTTTAATGACTCAAGTTTTAGCTATATATATTAATATTGATTTAAAAATACATGTAATGTAACTGTAATGCTGAAAACTTAAATATTCTAATTTGTCATTCTTCATTTTATGTCTGGCCAACAATGGTGATTACTGTTGTGCAATTAAGATTAGTTACAATTAATTTCAGCATAGAATCCATCTTACCAAGAAAAGAAATGGTTTCAGTTTTTTAATTTTCTGTTATAAAAACCTTGAAGAAGAGGTTTTATTACTTTACATTTGAAACATAATAATACAAAACTTACTAAAGGCCTTTTCCTGGCAAGCTTCATCTGCAAAAATATTGTGACATGTCATACACGCTCCGGCCATATATTCAGTAAGAATAACTTACTGACATTTGGGCCATAGCAGCACATTCAATAAACATTCTGCTGTGTGGCTGGTCTGTACAACTTCCCACGTAGATTTTTCTCTAAAATCTTTTTTAATTAATGAAGTTAATGTTTGAATAGACACATCATCATCATCATCATCATCATCATCATCATCACTGGCACGACAGCCCTTTGTGAGCCCTGGCCTTCCACAGGATTCCTTGCCATTCTTCTCCATTCGATGCTACATTCCTCGAGTTCTTTAAACCCAAAATTCTTATGCCCTGCCACACACATTCTTCCCATCTCAATCTTGGTCTTTCCACTCTCCTATTTCCTTCTGGTTTAGTATTAAGTATTTTCTTGATGGTTCTATTCTCGCTGGCACGTATTGTGTGTCCAGCCCATTCAAGCCTTTTCACCTTTATAAATCCAATAATGTCTGGCTCATTAAATTGTATAGCTCATGGTTATACCTCTTCCTCCATATTCCATTTTCTTCCACTGGTCCAAAGATACTCAAGATCCTTGAATAGACACAATGCATACAAAATCTTGCCACATGTGACATTCCCATCCCTGGAAGATTTACTGAAAGCATCTCATTTTTAGCCTATTGAAAACTTTCCGAAAAATGTGATGGCATTGCGGTAGTGTCAAGAAATGGCTTCCAGGCATCTCAGAGAAGCTTGGCTCTGTGCATAATGTAAGAAGCAGAGAGCAGTGGGAAGCTGACAGCCTGCATTAAATGTCAGGGTTACAATTCTTTATGGAATACTCTCCTAATTTTACTGTGTGACCTGTAAATGTAAATCCTTTAGTACTTTTGTGTGCAGTATCTTGTGTAATGTGTATATGCATGTTCTGTTTCAGATCATGCCAGGATGTAGATGAGTGTGAACAGTTCAAAGACCGTAATCTCTGTGTTGGAATATGTGTTAACCAGGCAGGAAGTTACACCTGTCAATGTCCAGAAGGCTATCGCATTGGGATTGATGGGAGAACATGTCAAGGTATACTGAAAGCATGCGTGCATAACATTGAGTATTATGTCCAGGGCAGCTTTGAGACAGTGGCAGCACCTGGGTTCCCTTGTGGTTATTAAACATATTTATATTAACAAAAGTGAAATGGGCAGGAAAAGATTAAAAAGGTTTTATCTAAATATTACATCACTCTGTATTATTATGATTGTGTTTATCAGATGCATTAATATGCATAAATATGGCATGTTCTGAGAAAACTCCAGGGATGTCATTCCTTGCCTTCCCTCGTCTCTGGCAGAAGAAATGTCTCTAGTTACATTAGACACCCATAATGAATAGGATATAACATTACACTCTTGATCCTGTCTGCTGGATATCTTCCGTATCACCATCTTGTCACTTATATGGATGTAGTTGCTTTTTATCTTGCCAAATGAAGTAGTGATACATATGAGAGTCTGACGTGCACTGAATGTGTAAATTACAGGAACATAAATGTGGAAATATTAGCAAATTCACTGTCTCTTTTCAGCCTTCTCCTGTCAGGGATCGATCTGATGAGGCAGGTTCTGCCAGACTAGTTAAGCTCTACTTTATGTAATTGATACATGCAATAAAATGTTTGATTTTCAGTACCTTTCTCTTCTTATCTCTTATTTCACAACTTTAACCACAGGAGTGAAAGTGTTTTAGTTTAGTTCGGGCAATGTAATTTGTAACAAACTCTGAAAAATCAGATTGCACGTGTAAGAAGTACCATGTAGGTTTAATCAGTACAGCAACAAGAATTTGATGTAGGTTTAATCAGTACAGCAACAAGAATTGCATCTCAAATATGCAGTGAACAATGGAAAGCGTTTCTTGCAGAGAGGATCTCTGTCCGCACTATGGAATGACATTCAAGCAACTCTCCTGGCACCACTGTGTCAGTGGCATTATCCTGCACTTATAAAAATGCCTCAGCCAATCATATAGTCAGGCCTCTACCTATTGTTGAACAAACAAAACACTTCAATAGCTTCAAATGTGGATTTGAGGAGTTCGCAGCAGCAGCTCTGCGGAGCGCTGTCTTGTGGAATGTCATGCTATATACACCAGTAGAAGTCTGCGAGTGCTTCATGGAAATATTTTCCCTTCATCTTCAGGGCCAAAGAGTAAATGAAGCAAGAAACCAGCAAGAAGCATGCTTCCTGGTTTCTTGCTTGGCTTTCTGTTCAACCCTGAAGATGGAGGCACTACGTTATTCTGAAACATTGACGCGCTTTTACTGGACTACATAACGTTACATCCTAGATGATAGCACTTCTTGCTGTGTTATATCTCATACTGCTCCGCGGAAATGAGGGATAACAGATGTGATGTTATTCCAGATAACATTCTGCTAATGTGTTAAGGAGACGTTACAAGACCAACTTTCTTACTAGTGTAATTTTTTCACAATGTTTTGAAGTAGGTTATGAAGTCATGCAATCTGGTAGTCTGCAGAAGCATTTCTGTCCTGAAGATGGTGGCAGCAGGTTCCCCCAGAACAATGATATCTATCGCATCCCAAAAAACCATAATCTTAATACTCACTTCTTTGAACACGTACAATCTGAAGCTTGGGTATTGTTGTCATGTGTTAATGACCAGTTTCGGTTGATTATTGAATGTACTGAATGCACTGAATGCTTATTATGCATAACTACAAATAGGTTATAGCATTTTCACTGATTTGTGCACTCTGCAAACAACTACAGCACACTCCAAGTCTTTCCAGTCTGCCTGTCTTCACCAGTCATTGCTTGGAAGCAGCTTCTAACAATGGAGATTCCTCTGCTTTTGTGCTCAACAGCTTGTGGCTAACCATCAACTGTCAACCCCCAACTGATGACTCACTGTCTTTGCCAGGAGGCATTCTTGGTTTTGGGCCTTGAGGTACCCATGACCATATTTTTTGTTTGTTCCAATACTATTTCTGAGTTTTGAAATAGGGCCTCCTCTTTGACAGAAGGAGGTGTTTGAGTACTGCTGTTGACTGTCACTGACTGATGTCCTGGTCCTGAGCACAGCAGTCATTTCCTGCTGGCGTTTGCCAGTGCAGTCATTCTTGGTTTCAGGTCTTGTCAGGATTAATGACCATATTTTTGTTTGTTCCAAGACCACTTAACATGTTTTGAAATGGGGTCTTTTTGACTAGAGGAGTCCAGTCAGCACCATTAATATGTTAAGTATGTTGTACATTATAATGCACAAATTCCTTCAATATAGGTAGGAATAATTTTATAATTTTTAACTGACTTTTCCAGACATTGATGAATGTTTGGACGGTAGCGTTTGTCGAAATCCCAATGAAGTCTGCCTGAATACCCGTGGCAGCTACCGTTGCAATTCCATCACCTGTCCTCCAAACTTCATCAAGGATCCGGAACACAAGAAGTAAGTGTCAGTGAATATATTTGTAATCTTGCAGTCATTTAAAATAAAATAATATTTCTGTCTGAAGCAACTTACAGAAACGTGTGAAAAGGTGTAAGCTTTCTAGAGGAAATAAACCCTATTATACTAATTAAATGAGATTAAATTATATAAACCTTTATTGTATATCCATAGTTTCACAGCATTGCATGAGATGAATTTGGATTATGGGATGCATGTTTGAAATAAACATTTAAAATGCAGTAACATATACAAGTAGCTTATAATAACAAATTGCTTTTGCACAGCTCAGCTAATCAGTGCCATAAATAAAAGTGAAATCTTTCTGCCCATCATTAATTACAAGATTTGCATGACCAAATTGGAAATTTCTCTGTGATTTCTCATCAGTTGCCCTAGCTCAGCAGTATTCACAGAATGTTGTATGAAATACATATTTTCTTCATATTTTAATTTAATTTATTTATTATATCTGCATTTTTGTTACATTTGTTCAGTTTTGAAAATATGTTGGCTATAAGCACATGATATCAAATAAATTAAAATTAATTTTGTTGTATTAATGAGGAAACCTGTGTACTGCTGAACTGGAAACTTGTCTCTGCTGTGCTGCTTATCTGTATGTTTCCTTGATTGCCTGCTGCTGCTGCTGCTGTTGCTGCTGCTAGTCGCTGTAAGAGAGCATCCCTCTTCTGCCGGGAAGGAGATACTGAGTGTCTTCGCTTGCCTTCGAGCATCTCCTTCAACTTCATCACGTTTGTGTCGAACCTTGCCATTCCGCCTGTGGGTTACATCGACTTATTCACCATGCGTGGTCCACTGTGGTCCAGTTCCAGCGTTAGGTTCAAATTGGACATGCTCGATTCCCGAGCTCCTGCTGGAATTTCTCCAGTGACCAAAGATTTCTTTCAACTTCGTCAGACATCTCCTAATCAAGCCATTATTTCACTGAGAAATTCTATTCAAGGTCCACAGCAGATAGACTTACAGTTATCAATGGAATTATATCATAGTGGTGTGTTTGGAGGTTCCGCAGTGGCAAAACTCTCAATTTTTGTTTCAGAGTATGAATTCTGATGTCACTGCCAAAGATGAATTCTCTGTGGCACTACTTCACGGAATAAAGAATAAATGTGAAGTAATATCATGCTTATATTAGTTATTCTAGTTGCAAGTTGTATGTTTATGCGTAGCCGGAGGAAACTTATACAACCATTAACACCATATGTGTTCCAACACTTTCAACATGGAACCTGTGTTGATGGAGATGTCTGTGCAGATGCTAACATGAAAAATTTTAATTTCTACTAAGCAGATTGTATAATATATTGAAGTTTCAAGGGTCAGGTGAAGATTCGGAGATTTCTTTATAAACTATAAAGAGAATGTTTATTTTTACATTAATGTATTGTGTGGGAATATCAGTTCAGGTAATGAAAAACGTTCCACACTTGGCAGTAATGTGTTTTACCTTGTAATTTTTTAAATTATTCTTGGCATTTTATTTTCTTTTGTCATTCACATATGATTGAGAGGTAGCCTTTCAGTATCATTTAGCTACTTTGTGGCGACTACTTACTCAATATATACAGTGCAGCCTTGATAATCTGAACTAATGGAAGTGCTGGTGTGTTCAGACTATCAGATTTTTCACATAACTGAGTTTAAAATAAAATATTCAAATTTTTTGGTAAAATTATTTATTCAAGATGTATATGTACAATTTTATATAAAAATAATGATCAGGATCTACCACCATTTGACTATACACCCGGTTTGGGGCAGGAGTAACCAGGTTACATCTTTGACCACCCAGGGAAAAGAAAATCAGTGAAACATAATATCATGTTTCACGACAGTTCATTTCTAGAACAGGGAAGTAAAAGAATTATGTTAAATTTTTAATTTTTGGAGTTGTTGATTCGATTTATTTATTTTTTAGGCAGGGATAGCGCAGAGAGTATAGCGACTGGCTATGAGCTGGATAACGCAGGTCAAAGTTTGAGTCCCGCTGGGAGCAAGAATTTTCACTTCAACATGTTGTCCAGACTGGCTCTGGTGTCCAGCCAAGCTCCTGTCCAATGGGTAATGGGGGCTCTTTCCCCGGGGGTAAAGTGGCTGGGGCATGAAGCTGACCACTCACTTCCAACTAGTGCCAAGGTCAAGAAAATGTGGATCTCTACATCCACCCACCCCCTCCATAAGCCTTCACAGTGTAGTGCTTAATTAGTTAAGCACAGGGACAATTTAACCTCTACTGCAAATCAGTTCAGATTAGTGGGGTTCCACTGAGGATTCTTTGTGTTTCTGTTCTTTAATTTCCAAGTGTGTGAGCTAATGGGCTGAGAAAATGGTGGCCCATAGGAGCCACAGTGCACAATTAAAGAGCCATTCTATGTTCAGAAAATTATTTAAAAACCTACACAGTGGGTTAATTATTGTAAACAAAATTTTGCAGGATTTCATGATGAATTACATTCATCAAGTCATTACAGTTATGTGATTAATTTTTTCACCAAGTGTATGTTCAAAAAAGCATTAGGTGTAAACATATTTTTCATTTTGCAATACCAAATACCTGTATCTTACTGTTTTGTTTTACTTGTATAAGTCGCAAATTAAGAAAAGTTGATAGCTTAAGACAGTTACCAAGAAATAGTACAAAAAGCTTGTGTTCTATGATTCCCGTTCAGGGATATCACCTTAGATAATTTTGAGGTGAATATATATTTATAAGCATGTGAGACCAGAATAAATATTTCACCCTAAAAGATCTTGTTTTACTTATCAATTGTGTTATGGGCAAAGTAAACTTTAATCATTCCTTTTCATTTCTTTAAGCCAAAATAATTAATTTTATATTTCCTTTGATATATTTAGAAGTAGTGCTTACTTCTGATAGCGCACAGACTCAAACTTGTGGATTAATTTAATGGCATTTGTTGAGTAAGTAGAGATAGTGCACATGATTCAGTTCACAAAGTACTTCCTTCAAATAACAGGTAGGTATCACCTAATCCAACAGAAAGTTTTGATTGATTTTCTCACTGTTTCTAGTCAAATGGCTGAAGGTATCCTAAAATATATGATCCCTTCATGCAAATGTTTAGATAGTATCTTGATTAGGTCATGACCACTTCCTTCCAAATTCTTACCAATTCATCAGTCTTCCTAGATGCTGACTGTATTGTAAAATAAACTACAAACCATCTACTCTATGCTTTATAATCCTCTCACAGAGAAATTAGAAAGAAACCAAGTCTGTTTGCATAACTGAAGTAGTACATGTTCTGTGTAATCGAGACAAGCTAGCAGTTGTCACAATGAAATGGGATAAAAATGGAAGAGACAGGAGCCAGAGATTTAATGGGTAGGTGAATGGAAGTACTGAACATCAATAGTGAACTTACTTTACTTTTGATACCTCCATGAGAAGCTGATTAACAGTGTGTTTAAATTATAAATAAAAAGAGTACAATACTTATTTGAAATATGTATTTAATATTCCAGATATTATTTAAGAGAGAACAGCATCATGTGTAAAAAGGAATGTAAACCTCATGACAGTGTGTGCCTGCTGAATAACACAAAGACTATAACTTACCAGTTTATATCAATACCAACAGTAAGAAATCTGCCTAACCCAATGGTAAGTTTGTTTTCCTTTTGTTGGTGATATTTTAATGATTACAGTGTTTATATGCTAGTGTATACTTCAGTATTCATGAACACATTTTTAGGTTACATTCCTAAAGTAAGGTTCTGTGGTCTTCCTGTCTGTGTGTACCCCGCTTGTCACTTGTAGGCAAAGGGTTATCCTCTTCAACAAGAAGAGGTATCCACCTTTCAGTGTAGGTGCTCTGACTGAGCAGAGTAGCAGACCTCTTCCTGTCTCTCAGGTGGACACTGAATACTGTCAGTCAGAGCGGCAGTTTACCACCAATCAGTTCATCTTAGCAACAAGTTCCTTGAGACTCATTACTTACTTATTTACTCATGGAGCTGAGCCCTTCTGGAGGAGCTGCCAATTCTGCAGCTACTCAAGAATTTCCCAGCATTTTATGGAACCCGAAGGTTCATTACCGTGTTCACAAGAGCCCTCCACAGGTCCCTATCCTGAGCCAGATCAATCCAATTCATGCCATCCCATCCTATCTCTAAGATCCATTGTAATATTGTCCACCCACCTATGCCTTGGTCTTCCCAGTGGTCTCTTTCCTTTTGGCTTTCCCACCAATATCCTATACGCATTCCTCGACTTGTGCTTGTCGTCTGCACAATTTTGTCATATAATCATATAAATATGGAAGGTCGAAAGCTGTGTGCAAATCGCGGACCAGTATGCACCTTGGAAAATTTCCAATGGTGCAGAAAACCTTGTTTTGTAGGCACTACAATTTTAAGAGGTGGGTATCTGCTACTAATTCCTAGGCAGGGCAAGCATAAGTTATTTCTGATCTCATTAGTGCCTTATGGAGGTTAGTTTAATGTTGACACTTAAATGTTCATTTTTGAATATAGCTTAGATTCTAATAAATATTCTTTGTGCAATCTCCATGTAATCCTGTTATCAAAGTGATAAGTGATCTAGTAAAGTGATCTTAGTGTGAAGCTGACCACTCAGTTTCATCTAGTGTTGAGGCCAACAATGGTTGAGTACACTTCCACTACCCATACATCTTCATCACTATACTTAATTACAGGAACAACTTTTAGAAATATACAGTATTACCATATTTTTAAATTATGTCATTTTAAATATAATGTAGTTACAATTTCTCATTTTATTAAATTCCATTTCTGATGCTGTTGTTTTCATTTTCATCCTCGTAATCTTGGTTGAATTTGGAAAAAATATGGCAAACTCAAACATGCAAAATGTGTCTAAATAATAAGAAATTTACACTCACAAAACTCACTTGGTCAGAAGTGGTGCCATTATTGCTCCAATTTATCTTTCCAGTACTTATGAATTTTTTATTTTAATCACCTTTCTACATGTTCTGTTACTTCTGTTAGTGTTATTAGTAATAAAAATAATATATAATTTATAAATAATGTAATTTTCAAGCTTTGGTTTAATTAGTACTACGAAACAATTCTGTGTTGTAGGTGTTAACTAGGATTAGAGCAGTTACTCTTGGTAGTGGTTGGGCTTTCAAAGTTCACTTCGAGGTGATGTTTGGCAATGAAGAACATTACTTTGATTTCCAGCAAGGAAGAAAACTGGGTGAGTGTGACTAAGCATAGTATGACACATCTCCTTTTTGTCACTACAAACAGTAGAATGGATAACATTTGATGGGTAGGGACTCCGCCAGTGCTTGCTTATGGATTAATGTTTGAGAATGTTTATGGAGTCACAATTTTATTGTAGGTTGAGAAGTTCTCAAAGCAGTGGTTATGAAGAGTTCTGTCTTCTATGAGTGAACGCTGGAATGTCAGTTGATTTGAAAGGACTACAGTTCATTATATACTTGAAGATAGAACTTCTCATTATCTTCATCAGAGCTTAATTAAAGGTTGCCATATGAAACTGTATTTATATGAAAATTAAATTGTCTTCAAGTCTAGGCCACACAGTATTATCAGATTGTTTACTCGAATTGGGAAATGGGCCGTGAAAACATGCAGAATAATGCAGAGAACTTACATTTACTATACCCTATCCTGACGGCAGATTTTAGTTGCACAGAATATTTTAAAGTGTTGCTGAAACCGTGATTAATAAGGGATGAGCAAAAGTAAATTGAGTACTCAAGCCACTCCACTGCATGACGTTAACAAGAGAATAGAATACTTAAAAGTCGTGATTTAAGGGGAATGTTTCAAGCCCAGAAAAGTGCCAGTGAAATCAGTCTTGTGCTTTCTTATGAATGTCCATGAGGCATATCATATAGTATATTGTCAGGGATTGTAGATACACCCATGCAGACAAATATGATTTCAAAAGTTCTGTTTGTAAGCCTTATATAAAGTTCAATAATGATCTCTCTCCCTCCCACCATGCGTGCGTGCGTGCGTGCGTGCGTGTCAACTCAAAATCCTGTTCTAATTCATGCTTTCCATAAAATCACATGTCATAAAATAATTTTAGCGCTGTGGATGGCATTTAGGATTACTGTTTTCTTGTTATAAACTGCAAATTTGAATTTTGAAAAATAATATTTAGTTGGGAGCACATGTGGCTTTTGGTTTACAAGAGTTCTAGGGTTTGGGTCTGAATGAAAAACTTTGATTCATTTATGGTTCATCATGGGAATGGGTTTTCAGAAGCTCTGTTTATGGTTGGGTTGTTTGATTCAACCCAAATGAAGCTTTGCTAACTTGAAAATGGTTTTTTGTTTTTCAGGTGCACTGCGACTTACAAGACCTGTGTTTGGCCCAAAACATTTTCTTGTAAAAATTCAAATGAAAGTTTTCACTGTAAGAAATTTCTTATCTGCTAAACACTGGGCTTATGTTGATATTGATGTTTCTGATTATGAATTCTGAGAAGATGCTACTGTACAAGCCATTTGTATCAATGATAAACTCACAGGTCATTAACTCATCCTGTGCTTTTGCCTCAGTGACTTACCTACAATTTCTCTTACATTTAATTGGTAATTACAGTTGATATTAGATTTGCAGTTTTCACATCAGTGATTAGTCCATGTTGCACCATACAGTCTTGTAGCAGCAATTAAGAAGAGTACTCTTATGTTGCCTCAATGTTTAGAGCAGAAATGCACGTCTACACTTCTGCTGTGAATGTGAAGGCGTGATGCTCCTCCAGAACTTTGATATCCACTTGCAGGAGCACATATTGTCACAACTGAGAAGAACACAGTCTGACTACAGCTGATACTGTTTTTGCCCTATGATCACCAACTGAACTTACCATATAAATGTTTGTTGTAATTTTACATGAATATTTTTATGGGTAATACATAATCTCAAGACTTTCTGGTGAATAAAATCAACCAAAAGTGATGAATGCTTATAATTTTGTAAATTTTATAGGATTTTGTATATCGCTAAACACATTAACCACTTTGCTTTTAGAAATAACGTTATTTGCCAAAGAAATGTTTACATGTGCAGTAT